CACTGTTTACTTATCAATTTTGCTTTAATCGCAAATAAATTATGGTTAACAATAATTGTTCAACTCGCGAACTCTTTGGAATATTCCGGGAATAGCTTCTACATGGGTACAACTCGCCAGTATCCTTGCTATCATATCTTCCTCATTACGAACAGGTGTTTCGTAGACTAAACTTCTCAGTCAATGACCCGACGGTGTAATCTTTGCATTGAAGTAAATGGTCAACATTTTGAACAATTATTGTAAACCATAATTTATTTGATAATAAAGCAAAATTAATAAGTAAACAGTTATTTAATTATTGCAAAGAATAAAAGTATCAAATAGTTTTTTTGCTCTACAGCCCAAATGGCTCATTTGCGGACATATGTTTATATAAACAAAAATGCTTGTTTTGATGTCCCCTACTACCCCTTAAAGTTTGTCGGTATCTTTTTGGGACACCCTGTATAAAGGCCGCTATTGCTTTGTAGTTTTAAGTTAAAGTTTGACTGTGATGCGAGTTAAATAGTGATTATTGTTGTAAAGAGTTCAATTGTTGAGTTAGTTATTAAAGTAATTAGTGTCAGAGTGTATTGTTACGTGGAATAAATTATTACTGTGTTAATTGGACTTTGATTTTTGGAATAAACGAAAAGAACCCAAGATTTCTGTCAGGCAATCCAAAGCCGTGACAATATTTTAAATAAATAAATAAATAAATAAATATCGCCTTTATTTAACTCCACGAAGGGTGCAAAATGGCGAAGTTTAACCTTGTGGCCATTCTTCCACTTAACCACTTGCACCAGACCCACTAATACCTAGTTACAGAAACAGCACTAAAGCCCTAAGAACATTTTCATCCAGCTCCAATACTACTCGAGAAATTTATTCCCTACTAAGCTTATATAAACTACTGTATTGCTAACAAATGTTGCTTATATCCAGATCTCAGAAAGCTAAAATTGCACTCTTTAAATTGCCCAGGTAATTTGTTAAAACATTTCACAGAATTATAAGTAAAACCCCGTTGAAACAATGAAGTTCTATGATGTGGCATTGTTAGAAAATTTTTATCCCTTAAACTACGACTATGCACAGCCTCTCTAAAAGTAAGTTTTTCATACAAATAAATAGGTTCTTTGTTCATTATTAACTTTCTTAAAAATACTGCAATATTATAATTATAACTATTATCACATTTGAGCCAACCCAACGCCTTAATATTAGCAGAAACATGATCAAACTTTCTTAATTTATATACAAATCTACAACAAGTATTTTGGACATATTGAATTCTTTTCCTAGTAACGGCATTCAAAAATGGGTAGTACACTATAAAACAATAAGAATATATAGACATAATGAGAGCTTCACATAATTTTTTCCTAGTTTTAAAGTTTAATATATATCTATTCGCGTATAGCAGTTTCATTTTCATATAACTTTTTTTTAGAAGAGTTGAAATATGTTTCTGAAAGGATAAATTTATGTCTATATATATGCCCAAATTTTTTCCACAGTTTGCAAATACCAATACCTCTCCATCAATTTCTATAGAGAGCCTATTTAAAAGACTATTTCTTTTGCCCTCCGAACAAAAAAGCAATATTTCAGTCTTATTGGGATTAATCTTCAAGTTGTGCTCCCTTGAAAATTTGACTACATTTGACAAGTCCAAATTCAAGAGCTCCGCGGCCCGCTCCGGATAATCAGGATCAAAACTAAACAACAATTGTGTGTCGTCTGCATATGACTGAATATGAGAAAATGAAGCACTTGAGAACATATCTGCTGTATAAATAATGTACAACAACGGCCCCAATATAGACCCCTGGGGTACCCCTGAGACAACACTTTTTGGCTGAGAGATGTTTCCATGCAACCTGACAAACTGTCGACGATCTCTCAAATAGCTCCCAAAAAAAGAACAAGCCCTCTCATCGAACCCATAAAAAGATAATTTGGCACACATTAGATCATGGTCTATAACATCGGACGCTTTAGAGTAATCTAACAAAACCAAAATAGCAGCCATCTTTCTATCAAGTATTTTTACAATATTATCGGTAATATTCAAGAGAGCTGTAGTTGTGCTGTGACCCCCCCGAAAGCCTGATTGGTGTACTGGAAAAAACTTATTATTATTGAAATATTCTGTTATCTGGGCATGTGCTACTTTTTCCAAAATTTTAGAAATAACAGGAAGCAAACTGACTGGTCTTAAATCCGAGAAATTAACCGGTTCAGAATAAGATTTGGGCAGGGGACAGACAATGGAATCTTTCCACTGGTTGGGAAAGTATCCCCTCTCAAGGCAGCAATTTAAAATGTGGGTAATATGTAGTATAACAACATGTAAACATTGTTTCAACATTTGTAGGGTGATGCCATCAATACCAGCTGCGTTCGATTTCATACTATGAATGTACTTGCAAACTTCAGATGGAAGCACCATGCCAAAAGTAAATTTAATTTGATCATCTTTCCTATTACCATTATAATACAAAATTCTACTAATACAGTTGTTTGTTTTTAGAAAAACACTGCAGAAATACCCATTTATTCTTTCTGAATCCGCCAGTGCTGGAGGAATATCTGAGATTTTATTCGTTGGCATATAAACATTTAAATCCCTTAAAGTTTGCCAGACTTTTTTGGAATTTTTCTGCCTTTCTAAATAGTCTAGGTATGCTGACTTTTCTCTACGTATTGATATTTTAGTGAAATTTCTGAGTCTTTTATATTCATCAAGATTTTCTGCAGTTTTATTCATTTTAGCCTTGCATCTAGCCTTATCCCTTTCCCTCATCAACGCTCTAATTGCAAAAGTGAGCCATGGGGAATAGGGCTTACTTACTCTAATCGTTTTAATTGGTGCAAATATGTCAAACAACTGCTTTACATTCTGGGTAAAAAATTCTACTTTGTCTTCAATATCATGGATGTAGTACAAATCATCCCAATGTATTTCTGACAAAATATTTAAAAAAGAATTTTCATCAAAATTTTTATAATCTCTCACTGTCAAAAACTTTTCAAACCCTTTAACCCAGGATATACTTACTTTACAAAATGTCAAGAAATGGTCACTCACGCCATTTGAATCCATTGTACCACTTTCCCTTACTACCTGACTATCATTTACAAAAATCGGATCGAGCAGTGTAGCAGTTGTGCCAGTTACACGGGTTGGCTCATCAATCACCTGGATAAACCCGTAGCTATCAAATAACTTATATACAGGATTATAAATATTGAACATATTTATGTTTAAATCTCCAAATACAACAATGTATTCATCTATGGGTAAAAGTTCTGGTAGTAGATCGTCCAGTACATTTACACACTCCGCTACATTATTTCCCACCCTATAGATTACACCAACAGATATCGAAACTGTTTTTTCCAGATTTATACGTAACCAATAGTGCTCATAGCCTTCAATAATTAAGGGACTTGATAAATTCAGACATTCACATCCCAATGAGCTTTTCACATAAAAACCCACTCCACCACCTCTGCCCTGACCTCGATCCCTTCTATAAAAATTGTATCCAGGAATCCTCAATAAATCAGATGCTGTGTCCTCTGTCAGCCAAGTTTCTGTCACCCCCACTATATCAAAACTATTCCTCTGAACTAGGCTTACAAACTCATTGAAGCCTGTAAAAATGGATCTCAAATTTAAATGTGCCAAGCTAAGTACAAAATTTTTAGTTTTAGTATGTTGGAATGGTAGTGCCATAGATTTAGTTTTATAATTTGATCCCTATACAAATATAAATATACCTATATATATATATATATAAATGTATTTATCTATTTTCTTATACAGGTTTGACAAGTCAAATCAAAATGTCTAGAAAAAGTCTCAGGTTAAATAGAGAAAGAAAACGATTTCCCCCTTGATTTTCCCTGTTCTACCTCCAGCTTTTCCAGCGGAGGTGGAACAGGGGAAATCTTAGACTTTTTCAAGATATTTCATTCTATTGTAATGAAATTGACCCGTAAGATGTTTAATTACCAAACCTGAATAGAAATAAGTGGTACGCCGCGTAAGAGTAACATTTTACTAATAAAAAATATAAGATTTGATTAACATACATATAATAATAGTCCAGGAAACCCCAAAGCAGACATTCATTAAAGCAAAACTTTAGGTATAAAATACATTTTATATGAGACTCTTTCACAAATAATTTGAATCCTTTGTTTATTTTTTGTTCATGAAAGCGTGCAGGATATATATGCTTGGTTGCGCAAGATAGATTTCCCTAGTCATATTTTTTAATCCCGATTTTCACCTAAAATTTACATTGGATTCTAGAATTATGTAACACGACAATAATGTATTAAATTAAATTATTTATTACAATTGAATTTTAAATTACAATAATAAATTTTCATCAAAAATTATTACCGATTATTAATTCTAAACACAATTATTGATTGGCAGTTAAATTGTAAGCCAATCAATTACCAAGCACCTATGTATTAATTATAATTATTTTGCACATTCGTGACTAAAAATACCAACGACACGATTATATTAGTATTTAAAAATTAACACAAGTTAAATATAATCACCAAATATGTATGTACTAATTATTATTATTTTGCGTACTTGTTTCCGAAAATACCAGTTCAAAAGTGTGCCAATAATAGCCTAAACTTTCTTAAATATTTACTAACCGAATACCAGAATACATAAACAGTTTTCGATATAGTAACTAATTAGTTTATTATTGGAGGGATTATTTATTTAGATTTTTGATAATAATTACAAGTAACTTTATCGTTGATAGAATACATAATAAAATTGTAGTGTTACAAAATAGGGAGGAAGTTTTACAATTATTAAAGATGAGACGAAAACACAAGGAAGACATAAGCCAAAAATTTAACCAATGTACCAAAGTAACTGTTATTTTGAATAAATTAATGACATCATAACAAAGTATAAAAAAAAAACAGTTGTAATGTAGAAGATAATTTGGATCTATATTTTTTTTCAGCTCACCAACATCGGTATCAATGTGGCCAACATCTCGTTTGCCACTCTCACCATGGAGAGCGATAAATTCATCTGCGTCCGCGAAAAGGTGGGTGACACCTCACAGGTAGTCATAGTGGATTTGGCTGATTCGGCTAATCCCATCAGACGTCCAATCACAGCTGAAAGCGCCATCATGAACCCAGCATCTAAAGTTATCGCGCTAAAAGGTAATTATTGTCGAGATGAATCCATAACACTAGTGAAGCCTCAATAGATCTACTGGGTGCATTTTTATGGAATAAAATTTATGTTAGCTATAATATTTTAGGTAAAGCCGGTGTCGAAGCCCAAAAAACCCTTCAAATCTTCAACATTGAAATGAAATCGAAAATGAAAGCACACACCATGGCAGACGATGTAATATTTTGGAAGTGGATAAGCCCCAACACTCTGGCTCTAGTAACAGAATCTGCAGTCTACCATTGGTCGATGGAGGGTGATTCACAACCTGTTAAAATGTTCGACAGACACTCGTCTTTGAATGGTTGCCAAATCATCAATTACAGAACAGATCCTAAACAAAATTGGCTGCTTTTAGTTGGTATTAGCGCCCAGCAATCCCGGGTAGTTGGTGCAATGCAACTTTATTCAGTAGAAAGAAAATGTTCACAACCTATCGAAGGACATGCAGCTTCATTTGCAACTTTTAAAATGGATGGCAATCCAGAACCGTCAACCTTGTTCTGTTTTGCTGTTAGAAATGTCCAAGGAGGCAAGTTGCATATTATCGAAGTGGGACAAAGTCCTGCAGGAAATCAACCCTTTCCCAAAAAAACTGTCGATGTGTTTTTCCCACCGGAAGCTCAAAATGATTTTCCAGTAGCAATGCAGGTTTCCAACAAGTATGATGTCATCTATCTAATAACAAAATATGGCTACATTCATATGTATGATATTGAAACTGCTACTTGTATCTACATGAACAGAATTTCTAGTGAAACTATTTTTGTAACCGCTCCCCACGAGACTACTGGAGGAATTATTGGGGTTAACAGACGAGGACAAGTTTTGTCAGTATGCTGCGATGAAGAAAATCTTATTCGTTATGTAAATCAAGTTTTACATAATCCTGATTTGGCTTTGAAACTAGCTACTAGAAGCAATCTTTCCGGAGCTGAGGAATTGTTCGTCAGCAAATTCCAAATGCTTTTCCAAAACGGACAATATGCTGAGGCAGCTAAAGTAGCTGCAAATGCTCCCAAAGGAATCTTGAGAACTCCCGCTACAATACAAATGTTCCAACAAGTACCCACTCAAGCAGGCCAGAATAGTCCTCTTTTGCAATATTTTGGAATTCTATTGGATCAAGGACAATTAAATAGATACGAGTCCTTGGAATTATGCAAGCCAGTTCTTTTGCAAGGCCGCAAACAACTTTTAGAGAAGTGGATTAAAGAAGAAAAATTGGAGTGTTCTGAAGAGTTAGGAGATTTAGTTAAGCAAGTTGATCCTACCTTAGCTCTATCAGTTTATCTTAGAGCCAACGTACCAGCTAAAGTAATCCAAAGCTTTGCCGAAACCGGACAATTCCAAAAAATCGTCTTGTACGCCAAAAAAGTCTCTTACACTCCAGACTATATATTTTTATTGCGGCAAGTGATGAGAACCAATCCGGATCAAGGTGCAGCTTTTGCCAGTATGCTCGTAGCCGACGAAGAACCTTTGGCGGATATCAATCAAATCGTGGATATTTTTATGGAGCAAAATATGGTACAACAATGCACCTCGTTTTTGTTGGATGCTTTAAAACATAATCGACCATCCGAGGGACATTTGCAGACCAGGATACTTGAGATGAATCTTATGTCTGTGCCCCAAGTTGCTGATGCTATTTTAGGTAATGATTAATATTAAATTTGCACTTCTCACTTAATTAACTATTATTTGTAGGTAACAATATGTTTACTCACTACGACAGAGCTCACATTGCACAGCTCTGTGAAAAAGCTGGCTTATTGCAAAGAGCTTTGGAACATTATACTGACTTGTATGACATTAAGCGGGCTGTAGTGCACACTCATCTTTTGCCAGCCGATTGGTTGGTCAGTTTCTTTGGTACTTTGAGTGTTGAAGACAGTTTGGAGTGTCTCAAGGTAAATTAGTCCATTAACCAAAATATAATATTGTTCTAACTTGTTTATTGCTTTTTGTAGGCTATGTTAACTGCCAACATTAGACAAAATCTGCAAATCTGCGTCCAAATCGCAACCAAATACCATGAACAACTCACCACCAAAGCTCTTATTGACTTATTTGAAAGTTTCAAAAGTTACGAAGGCCTGTTCTATTTCTTGGGCTCCATTGTCAACTTTTCCCAAGACCAGGAAGTGCACTTCAAGTACATCCAAGCTGCTTGCAAGACAGGTCAAATCAAGGAAGTGGAACGTATCTGTAGAGAATCGAATTGTTACAGTCCGGAAAGGGTTAAGAATTTCTTGAAAGAAGCTAAATTGACTGATCAGTTGCCTTTGATTATTGTATGTGATCGTTTCGATTTTGTGCATGATTTGGTTTTATATTTGTACAGGAACTCTTTGCAAAAGTAAGTGGGCTTTGACTATTTCAATGCATTATTGAGTAATTCAATTTCAGGTATATTGAAATTTATGTTCAAAAAGTAAACCCCAGTCGTTTACCTGTGGTAGTTGGAGGATTACTAGATGTTGATTGTTCTGAAGATATAATTAAAAATTTGATTCTTGTGGTCAGAGGTCAGTTTTCTACTGATGAATTGGTAGAGGAAGTTGAGAAAAGAAACAGGCAAGTGGAATTCGTCTTGTGTTTGGTTTTTTTAAGTTTTAATTTTTTTTTTCTTTTAGGCTTAAATTGTTGTTGCCTTGGTTAGAAAGCAGAGTCCATGAAGGATGTGTAGAGCCAGCCACACACAATGCTTTGGCTAAAATTTATATAGATTCTAATAATAATGCTGAAAGATTCCTCAAAGAAAATCAATGGTAAGTGGAAATACATTAATATTAAAATGTAAACATCAATTTTGTGTGTTTTCAGGTACGATTCTAGGGTTGTAGGACGTTACTGTGAAAAACGCGACCCCCATCTTGCTTGTGTAGCTTACGAACGTGGCCAGTGCGACAGAGAACTCATCGCAGTTTGTAATGAAAACTCGCTATTTAAAAGCGAAGCGAGGTACTTGGTACGGAGACGTGATTCAGAACTTTGGGCTGAAGTACTGCAGGAAACCAACCCTTATCGTAGACAGTTGATCGATCAAGTTGTGCAGACTGCACTCAGTGAAACACAGGTAAGGAATTTGTTAGAAAATAGCCGAATATTTCTGTGGAAGATACAGCATGGAGTTTTTTTTTTTCAGAAAAATTTCTACATGAAAACTAAAGCTTTTTTGTTTGAACTTATCTTTTCTATAACCTTTATTTTGATTGGAATAATTTTGATTCTCAAACAAGTCAGATAATAATTTAGGTACTGCACTGCATTACGAGATATTTCTGATATTAAATAAGTGAAACCTATCAGAAGACTATATTCTTTATGAATTTCAGGACCCAGAAGACATTTCTGTAACAGTCAAAGCCTTCATGACAGCTGATTTGCCCAACGAGCTTATTGAATTGCTAGAAAAAATCGTCTTGGACAGTTCCGTTTTCTCAGATCACAGGAATTTGCAAAATTTGCTCATCCTCACAGGTAAATATTAATTTTTTTCCAATTAATATGAAGCTATTATAACATTGTTTTTTTTTAAGCAATAAAGGCCGATGCTACCCGTGTAATGGACTACATCAACCGTTTAGACAACTATGATGCTCCTGATATTGCAAATATCGCCATCAACAATCATTTGTATGAAGAAGCTTTTGCAATCTTTAAGAAATTTGACGTTAACACTTCTGCAATCCAAGTTCTGATTGAACAGGTCAACAATTTGGATAGAGCATATGAATTTGCAGGTAAATAACACAAATGTTTAACAAAAATATGTTTTCTAATAACTTGAATGAATTTAGAACGTTGCAACGAGCCAGCAGTTTGGAGCCAGTTAGCCAAGGCCCAACTCAATCAAGGTTTAGTTAAAGAGGCCATCGATTCCTACATCAAGGCCGATGATCCTTCAGCTTACATGGATGTAGTGGAGACTGCTTCTAAAAATGATAGTTGGGAGGATTTGGTGAGGTATTTGCAGATGGCTAGGAAGAAAGCCAGAGAAAGGTAAAGGTAAATTTGTAACAAAAATCAGCCCTTAATAAAACCTTTTTCAGCTACGTTGAGTCCGAACTGATCTACGCCTACGCTAGAACTGGTAGATTAGCTGATTTGGAAGAGTTTATTTCTGGTCCCAATCATGCTGATATCCAAAAAATTGGAGACAGATGCTTTGATGATAAAATGTACGATGCTGCTAAGCTTTTGTACAACAATGTTTCCAACTTTGCCAGGTTGGCTATAACTTTGGTACATCTTAAAGAATTTCAGGTAAGAATTAATTGTATTTGGTCGAATCTTGATTTTGAAAATGTATCATTTTCCAGGGTGCAGTAGATAGTGCTCGTAAAGCAAACAGCACCAGAACCTGGAAGGAAGTTTGTTTCGCATGTGTTGATGCCGAAGAATTCCGTCTAGCGCAAATGTGTGGAATGCATATTGTTGTTCATGCCGACGAGCTACAAGATCTCATCGATTATTACCAGGATAGAGGATACTTTGAGGAATTGATAGGATTGTTGGAAGCAGCTTTGGGTCTTGAACGCGCCCACATGGGCATGTTTACGGAGTTGGCTATTTTGTATTCGAAATACAAACCAGCCAAGATGCGTGAACATTTGGAATTGTTCTGGTCTAGAGTTAATATTCCCAAGGTGAGAACGAATAATTGGATAATCTAAGATTTTTACCATCTCAAATTACAAAAAAACATTAATCATCTATAGGTATCCAATATTCCTTTAAGTATAATATCTTTTATTTAGGTATTGAGAGCAGCGGAACAAGCTCATCTCTGGGCCGAATTGGTATTCCTTTTCGACAAATACGAAGAATACGATAACGCGGTGTTGGCAATGATGGCTCATCCCACTGAAGCATGGCGCGAGGGTCACTTCAAGGACATCATTACCAAAGTTGCCAACATTGAGCTCTACTACAAAGCTATCCAATTTTATTTGGACTACAAACCTTTGCTATTGAACGATCTATTGTTGGTTTTGGCACCTAGAATGGACCATACAAGGTAAGATTGGTGTTTTTTAAGACATTTTGCTAAATTCAATTATTCTGTTTTTAGAGCTGTGTCCTTCTTTACCAAAACTAATCATTTGCAATTGGTGAAATCTTACCTCCGGTCTGTCCAAAATCTTAATAACAAAGCTATTAATGATGCCTTGAATTCGTTGCTTATTGAAGAAGAAGACTTCCAGGTAATAATTATCAATAATGTTGAAAAAAACATATATTTTCATTTGTCATCTTAGGGTTTGAGAACATCAATTGATGCTTTCGACAACTTTGACAATATTGGCTTGGCTCAAAGATTAGAAAAACACGAACTTACCGAATTTAGACGAATTGCCGCATACTTGTATAAAGGAAACAACAGGTAACAAAAAAATTATATTTTTCTTTTAATGCATTTGATAATAACTTGCCATTTATTCAAGATGGAAACAAAGTGTGGAATTATGCAAAAAAGATAGACTGTTCCGCGACGCTATGGAATATACCGCAGAAAGTAGGAACCAGGAGCTCGCTGAGGAATTATTGGCTTGGTTTTTAGAAAGGAAAGCCTACGATTGTTTCGCAGCATGTCTATTCCAGGTAAGAATCTTTTCAGAATAAGGACTTTCCAAATGTTTTTAAGTTTCTGAGAATTTGATAAACAACCCTATTCGTCAGAAAATTCTTTCTGATCAGCTTTGAGCATCTCTCCTTATCTAGCTTCTTAGTATGGCCTCGGAGTTGCTGGCTGGTTAGTATTTAGACTGAAAATTTCCAGTTGCAAATCTGGAGATAAATGGTGATTTAAGAGTTTGTACGTCTCAATAAAGTCCCCTCTCTCTTATTTAGGTTTAAGGGTTTTTATGTCGTATCTCAGTAGTTTTTCTTTGTATAAGAGGTTTCTGATTTCAGGGGGGAGTTTTCTCACTCTACATTGGACTGTTTCCAAGATCTCAATGTCTTTAACTGGGTATGGGTTCCAGACCAAATGTGCGAACTCCAATTTAGGTCTGATATATGTTTTATATATTTTGCTAATCATGGGGATGGATTTGTCACTGAAAGCTTTCTGTATGAGGTATACAAAAGAGTTTGTCTTCTTGACAACTGAAGAAATATGGGCTTCCCATTTTAGGTGATTTGAAATAATGACACCCAGATCTTTCTGCTCAGTGACAGCCTTCAATGATTTAGATTTTGGAAAACTTTGAAAGGTCATAACTTTTTTCTATTATAGATAGAAAGCTGAAACTTTCACTGAATTTTATCCCAATCAAGGGACTACAATCCCTGAAAATTTCAGCTCATTTGCACTTATAGTTCCTGAGATAAAATCGTGTTAAACAAATTCGTAGGTCGATCGAGTGTACGCCACTGGCATTTTCCTGTTTTTATATAAATCCTTTATTTAGTCAAGACTAATTTACAGTTATACAGTTACAGTTATCAATTGAAATTCCACTAAAGCTAATTTATAATTTAATTAAAAAACAATTTAAAATCTACATAACACAATGATAAAAAATGATTTAAAAAAAAAACGTACACTGATACAATACAAGTTACACATACTACTTACTTATAAGTTAACATCACTTAGCATATAATCTTTGAGAACTTTTTTAAAAGAATTCACTGTTTTCATAGACTTAACATTATTTGGCAGATCATTATACCTACTCAAGCCCTTAAAATATAATGAGTTTTGCGACCTTTCCTGATCTACCCTTGGGATATAAAAATTTTCTCTGTGGCGCGTATGATATTGATGCACTTCAGAAGCATACATAATTTTGCCTAACAAATATTGCGGAGCTTGACCAATTTTTATTTTATGAATGAATGTTAGGGTGTTAAACAGAAGAAGCTCCCGCACTGGCAGCCATTGAAGTTCTTTTAACATATCCTTTATTGGTGTTAACCTTGGTTTTTTGAGTATCACCCTCATACTTCTGTTTTGCAATTTCTGCAATCTTGAGAGCTCATTTTGTCTGAAGAGAAACAAAATACTAGAACAATAATGGAAATGTGGAAGTATTAATACATTAAATATAGTTTTTTTAGTCCAAGTAGACAAGTATGGAGAGCAGCGAGATAAATAATTTACTTTAAAAGCGATTTTTTTAATTATTTCTAATGCATGACTTTTAAAATCTAGTTTATGGTCAATCCAAATTCCTAAGTATTTAATTTTTGTTACCATTTCAATAGTGTCGCTGCCCAACAATAATTTGCAGTCCATAGCCAATAGCTGTTTGTAAATGGATTCCCTTGCAATAATCATGTACTTTGTTTTAGAAATATTGACCTTCAAATCATTAACATTACACCACTGATACACATCATCCAATATTTGATTAAGTGATGTCTCAAGTTGGCCCAGATCTTTTGTGGAATAATAGAATAAGGCATCGTCAGCAAAAAGATATGTGGTACAATTTTTTACGTTTTTAATTATGTCATTAATATATATAATAAATAGCAAAGGCCCCAGCACGCTCCCCTGAGGGACGCCAAAATCATTAGATATATCTTCTGATAATATGTCATTGACTTTTAGTCTTTGTTTACGGTCACTCAAGTAGCTCACAAACCATTTTAAAACTACTCCCCTAATACCAATGCTTTTTAGCTTTAATATTAACCTTGTCCTGTTTACAGTTTCAAATGCCCTTCGTAAGTCAAGAAAAATGGCACCAGTTGCTAAGTTTTTGTCAATATTTTGCCTCCAGTCTTCTAAGATACCCTGCACAGCAGTTTCGCAACTAAATTTTACTCGAAATCCTGATTGAAAATCACTTAGTATTTTATTCCGATCTATATACTCAACAAGTTGCATATACACCATTTTTTCCAAAATTTTGTCAATAGTGCAAAGCAAATTTATTGGACGCAATTCATTGGCAGATTTTAATTTAATTACTTTGGGGATCGGGATTATAGTGGAAACTTTTAACATATCAGGAACCTGACCTAATTCTAGCGAAGAATTAACTAAATTTAAAAGTGGATTCTTTATAATCTCAAAAGTATTTTTGAGTAAATTGATGTTAATATCATCTGGACTTGATTTATTAGCCATTCCAAAAATAATATCTTTCAACCCTTCAAAATCCAACATACTAAAATCTGAAAAATTAACCAAATCGTCATGGTGAGCCAATGGAAAATCTCCAAGATCAGACTTATCTATATCCTGAAGTATATCTTTAATACTATCAACAAAACAAATATTCAGTTTATTAGGTAACTCCTCTTTATCACTAATTAAGGTATTATTTATTTCTACCTCATCAATTTTAGCCACTGTTCTTTTTGAAGGTAATAAAGTTTCCAAAGTTTTCCACATTTCTGTGGGATTATTTTTATTTTGACATATTTTTTCTTCATAGAACTTACGTTTCTCTTCTCTAAACACTTGAACTGCAAAATTTCTTTTTTGCTTATATTCATTTAAGTTTTCATCTGTTTTATTATTTTTATAAGTCCTATAACTAAAATCACGTTCTCGCATCGCCATCTCAACCCTATTGTTCCACCATTTTTTATATTTAGGAAAAATTTTTACGGTTTTTATTGGAGCAACTAAATTTAAAATTTCCAGAACAGTTGACACAAAACTGCTAAACTTATGATTTATGTCAGAATGATAGTACCTGAACTCACAATTGCGCAACATTTGGTTGATACTCAAAAAATCAATATTGCCACCTCTAGTATCAACAGTCTTAGCCACTTTAGGACTCACATTGTGTAATATTTCAATCATGTAATGATCAGTAATTTTTGGGGTAATAATAACATTAGCTTTAAACAACTTATCAGAGTTCGTTAGCACCAAATCTATGATTGAGTCTTTATCTCTACCAGAGCGAGTTGTAGCAAAAACAATATTTTTAAGACCTATATCTACAAGAATTTCTTTTAAAGCTTTTGACTCATCCGTTCTGTAATCGATGTTAAAGTCGCCTACAACTAAAATGACACAATTTTCATCAATCAAATTTTCTTCGCACCATGCTTGAAAAAAAAGCTCAAAATCCCGTTTAGATGAACTTGGAGATCTGTACAGAGATACCAAAAGATATTTTTTCTTATTGTAAAAGATGTATGTGTAAACCAACCAATAATTTTTATGTTTAAATGTCTGTTGTGATTTTAAAATTTTAACATCATCTCTTATGTATAAAATCGCCCCACCTGTACTTCTACTATTACTATCTACTCTCTCCAAGCTATAACCATCAATATGAACCTCCCCATCCAGAATTTTTTCTGTTAAGCAAGTTTCAGACAATGCTATAACTACTGGTGATCTACTTAAAGCTAGCTGATAAATCTCATCAAAGTGAGCCGTTAAACTAGATGAGTTAAGGTACAATATAAAAATCTTATCACGCTTGTTTATGTTTCTGGAATTTCTATCAAAACTTGATCTAAAAAACTGCCAGTAGATACTAACAATTGATCTTTTACCTCAGCCCCCGTAATCGCATTTTGACTACTTTCGTTAATTCCGCTATTATCAACAAAAGTTTCTGTATTAACATAAATAAGATTAGCATTCCTTTTACTTACAGCAAACACGGTGTTGCTTATAAGATTTGCAATTTCCACCTTACTTTTTCTGAAACCATTCCAATCATTGAGATCACAAAACATTGTTTTTCCCTCACTATAAAAGTTCAATCGATCTGCATATTCATAAAGCTTTTTATTAAACATTTGAACCCTTTAATCAAGGCCATTCTTTCTATAATTCATGTAAGGAATTGAAGTTAAAACAACGTTAGTGTGAGTGCAGTATTTAAGTTTTCTATTTATATCTCTAAAAGATGGAAATTGCAATCTATCAACATCATTAGAACCAGCCATTATCAAAACATAGTCATCCAAAGTAAAATCTTTTACTAATTCAACAATGTCTTTTGTAACCATTTCAAAAGATGCGCCTGGCTTAATTATTGTTTGACATACCAATTTATTGCATTTTACCCCAAAGGATCTGTCCAGATGGCGACCATATTCGTCACATAAAATAAGTAACCTTCCCCTATTTTTCATTTTTCCACTTCTTTCTGTACTCAAATCCTCATTATTTTCTAGCTGCTTCTGCTTCTCCATTTTCTCATTCTTGCTGTCCTTGTGTAGATCTTCTTTCTTCTTTCCCAATTCATTCTTCAACTTTGTTTCATTCTCCGCATAAATTCTATTATCTGCCTCAAGTATTACTAATGCGTCCTTCATCTGATTCTTGACAATTACAAGATCTGATAAGTCTCCTTTCAGTTTTATAATAAATCTTTCATTGTCATTTATCTGATTAATAAGATTTTTGTTTTTTTCTTTTAATTCCTCAATAAGTGGTTTTAGGTTAATCTCTTCGTCCGTTTGTTTTTTTTGTGCTTTTATTTTTATTTTTAGTTGTTCAATTCCATTTTTAAGTTCATCAATTTTTTTATCTTTCTCTGTAATCTCTTTCAAAAAACTCTCTTCGCTTCTTGAAGCGTCCTCCATTAATGACACTGAACTTCGTTTTACTCGTGCTATATAGTTATCCTTGTCTATTATTTCAGTTTTCAAGTCTTCAATAACAGATTTCAATATGTCAAAAGTGTCTGGCTCATCCTCAGTTGCTGCATCCATACAGTTTCGGGAACATATTGCTAAACTGTCCCTTACAATGGTATATTGTTTGTTTAACCTTGTCCAACAGCTTCTATGAAATACTTTTTTACATACGACACAAAACAATACAGTTGATTCTTTATTTTTGCAACATTTAAATGACGACATTTTCGGGTTGAATCTTTAAAAATTAACAAAAAATTCATGTGCACTCGGACTACAGTGCATTTCAAGTTTAGTAGTTTTGTTTATGTTAAGAGCAGGTTGAGATAAGCCCATTAGCAAAAAATAGGTACCTGGAGATAAAAGTCTATTGTTATTTTTGTTATTTTATTTTGATGGTATAGAATTTTTCAACTGTTTATCGAATTTACCAGGAAATGATTCGATTTCCACTCATGAAACCCTCACAAACAAAAAGTTTACACTGTCACAAACACAATGATACCCAATTTATTAAAAAATGCGAACTTTAAACTTGTCAAATTCAAGATTTACAGGAGCCCATGTTTGACTCTGCACAATACTTTGCTCAGTCGATTAGTCGATTTGACTACCCCTTCAACCTTTTCATGATAGTATGAATTCAATTCTATGTACAGTTTTTGAATAATCATACAGTTTCCTACTATGTATGCTCGAGACCATCCCCGTCGTACAGTTTGGCGGTTATCAATGGAGCCAACGTCTTTTGGCAATTTATTAAAAATATTGCCGGTATTTCATCCGGGCCTGGACTAGATTCTCTTTTCAGAGTAGAGATTGCTTGAATAACCTTTTTCTCACTGACATCTACGGTTGTTAATGATTCAATAGATATTTTATTTAGGTCCAATTGAAATTTAATTTGTAGTGAAAGATTTCTTTTATTTAAAGATGAGGCTGGTAATGAATGAATCATACCTTTGTATTTTCCATTTAACGAGATAAAGATAATATCTAATTTAATTTTCCAGTGCTACGATCTTCTCCGTCCCGACGTCATCATGGAATTGGCATGGCGTCACCAAATCATGGATTTCGCAATGCCCTACCTCATCCAGGTAACCAGAGATTTAACGAGCAAAGTTGAAAAATTGGAACAATCAGACGCCCAACGGAAAACAGAAGCAGCAGAACAAGATGCCAAACAACCGATGATGATTCCCGAACCCCAACTTATGTTGACGGCAGGGCCTGGAATAGGTATGCCGCCACAAGCTTATGTACCACCACAAGCCTACCCTCAACCTGGCTATGCGCCCCAAATGCCCTACCAAGGCGCTTATCCTGGCAGTATGTAGGGCCAGGCCCCCACATTCGGGACACCTTCACACCAACAACAGCAGCGTAGAAAATATTTTTAGTGATCTACTAGGTAATGAATTTGAGAGTCAATGCTTCTGAATGAATATAAATGTGAGGAAATAGAGACCCTGCACACACTACATTTTGTGTCAGAAATAAATAAATCATCCACAAATGCTATGAAAATTCAATACCTGTAGCTAGCTTAATAAATTTTATTTACCTTAAAAGGAATGTATATGAGATTTCTTTACAACTTTCTGTTAGCCCCCTTGTAAGTAACAAAAAATAAAATTAATGTATTCTTGCACAGAAATAGAAGTTCTGTTAAATTACGTACTATTAGTTGTTAAAAAGCGAGGCAAAGTAACTTCTAAGTCTCCAAATAAGTAACTTTGCTCACTTGCTTGAGTTAAGGTTCAGAATTTAATCGCTTTATAAAGTTGTATATATTTTATTGTGCTGAAGTGATGGGATACCTAGGGAATTTTAATTTTTTCAAATTTTTGTTTGCCAGATCAGTATGCTTTGTCTCTCTCATAGGAGAAAAGTAGCTTCTGTGCTATCGAGTATGTGTAAATAATATTTCATTTCTAAAATTTCTTTAGTGTAGGAGTGTAGGTGAATATTGAGTTTTTTTATTATCATTCCTGATTATTTTGTTAAAGCATAATTAATTATTGTCACTAATTATATTATATGTATATGATAATGCTGTTTTTAAGTTATTCTAGATGGTTCTTTCTACATTTTTTTTAAAAATTATGTATTACGAATATTATAAGTTGTTTCCATGTGTCGTGGCACTTAGTTTTGTTTGGCTGTAAAATGCCCCACATTATTTTTACTTATGTTTTACGTTTATATTTAATTATAAAAAATATTTGGATTATAGTTATTTTTCCTATATTTAGTGAGCTAAATAAACAAATTATTGAAATTAAAATTCTAGTTTTTTTTTCTTCCCTCAACTATTACTTGGGACCTAAATTGTATTATAAATGCATTCTTTACATTTACTACATAGTGAATAATAAAATACTTTCTAAAGCTTATATGTTGGGAATTCTTATTTTTGCATTGTTACACAAATATAACAATATTCTAAAATAAAAATTACTGATCTATAAATAGAACGCTCGTTTCGGATCGGAGAAAAAAACAGTGTGCCCATGAAAAGGGGTGCGTGAGACGCAGAGCGCTTCATAGGATAACTAAGGCACTTAAGGACAACCAAGAAAATAGGTCAAGTCAGTCGCTTTCCATAACAGCTAGTAGTACGTCGGTGACGCCCTGCGATTTATCGGATTTCTAGAATACATGTTCGATCCTATCTTTATCGTGCTACTCCAGTATTTATTATTTATAACTGATTTAGTTCTAGTAAAGAAACTTTGTTTATTGACTCAATCGGCTTTCTTTTAATATAGCCCACTTACAGTTCCTATCAGTGTCTACACAGCAAAGTACGTAAAGTCTATTCTATTAGAGACCTCTGAACCGTGCAGGCAATGTTGTCATTTAACTAACACTTATAAGACCTTCAAAAATAGTCCAGAAATGCCAGACATAGCATAATTTGGTGTATAGTTGTAGGGTATTTTTATTAAAAATGAAAATAACACAATTCCAGTTTTTTTAGTTTTAATTTAAAATAAAAATTGTACTTATGATTAAAACATTTTAATCAAATAGGGCAAAGCCCATGTCATCATCCTCTGATTCGGATTCTTCTTTCTTTTCTTCTTTTTTGGACTCTGAAATTAAAAAACATAAATTAATATAAACTAATTAAAACATAAAATAAAATCTAATGCAAAAATGCATCAGAAAATAAAGTTATGCATCAAGACTAAATGTCAGTCGAAAGATGGTGATTTATTAAATCATCATAATAATCCTGTTGAACATTAAAATACATTCTTTAAAAATAAATACTGACCTTTCTTCTCTTCGGCTGCTGGAGCAGCACCAGCGGCGGCGGCGGGTGCAGCAGCGCCACCAGTGGGCATGGAGCTCAACTTTTCTCGGCCTAAAACAAATAGAAATAATTTATAATCCTTATATCACACCAAAAGTAACTGAATATTTGGTACAAGAAAAATCAGTTAAAAACGTTGTGCATCAATAACTTTCAGTCGAAAGATGGTGAGTTGTTTTAATCATCATGGATAACTTTTTATATTGAAAATATCTCATGAAACTGCATGTTGAAGAAAAAAGATAGCATGGTTTCAGTACTTCATTACTTAACTAATTTGATACACTTTTCTGGTACTTAACTAAGAATAATTCTTTCTATGACTATTAGAGAATTTGTCCATTCTGACTTAGTTTTGGATTACAAAATAACTTTATTCCATCACTAGTGAAAGAATACTTCGTTCCATAAGTTCTTATAGAATGAATACATCTTGCTGTTACTATTCGTTCATTTGATAGTCATAAGAAAAGTGAGTCCCGGAAAATTGTTCGAAAATAATTGTTCGAACGGAAAATTCTTTGCAAGGAAAATTGTTCGAAAGAAAAATTGTTCGGATGGAAAATTGTTCGAATGGAAAATTGTTAACACTCTCGCCGCCACGGCCGATTTCGGTCTTAACCGCCCTAGGCCAAGTTTTGTTTTTTCAATATTTTTTGTTTCATATAAACAAAAAGTTTTTGTAGAGTTTATATTTTTATTTCGTGGTGTTTTATATTTTTTGCTAATGCATTTTTAGAAAAATTTATGTTTTTTTCATTATTTTTAACGCCAAATACTTACATGTGAACGTATATATCTTTTTTAGAAATAAAAAAACAAAAATTATCCCACAATTCTTTTATTATCATATCTCCATTTTTGATCACCGCAGGCCAAAGTTCTCTATGTCGGGATATAGCCCTGGGCCATGGGAATGATTTCCCTATATAAAATATACGGCTGGTGTAACAATAATGACCCACCACAGTCTAATACAAAATGCTGCTGGTGTACATTAATGTTACACCTTTGTCAATACAGGGGTGTACATTTTTGTTACACTGGCGGTGAGAGTGTTAATAAATGTACTAATACGCCTCGGAAACTTAAATCCATCAAAAACGTGAAAAACCTTTTTTACATGCTCGAAATTTCAATTATTTTTGAGTCTCCGATTGCTTACTTTGCTCACAGAATCTCAAAGAGAAGATCCGCGGAACCGTAAATTCAGCATTGGTACAAAAGAGCGCAGCTCATAAGTGAGCGGACAAAAGGGCGCAGGTCAAAATATTATTGGCAACATCTAACCAGTATTAAATGAACTGTAACGAAACTAACCAAAAATATGCAAACTAACCCACGTAATGCGTGCTAGTCCTTCTATGTTAATATTAAATTTAAAAAACCAAGCGCCTCCTATTGTCAAGCAGTACTCTTTTAACCAGTATTAAACGAACCGTGACGAAACTAACCCAAAATATGTAAACTAGCCTAAACTAACCCAAATTAACCTGTCCACCTAATGCGTGCTAGTCCTCATATAAATATTGAATTTAAAAAACCAAGAATTAAGAATCAGGGACAAATATTAAGAATTGATGAATTGGGTAACTCCGACCATAGATTCATTTACGATTCACTATTGATTTTTCGGAAAAAAAAAACAATTTTCCGTTCGAATAATTTTCTTTCGAACGATTTTCCATTTGAATAATTTTCCATTCAAAGAATTTTCTGTTCGAATAATTTTTTGTTCGAATAATTTTCCGTTGGAACAATTTTCCATTTGAACAATTTTCCGTTCGAACAATTTTCCGTTCGAACAATTTTCTTTTGAACAATTATTTTCAAACAATTTTCCGTTGACGAGGAAAAGTATAGTCTAAAACACAATGGGCCATTTTCACGTGCCGGGAATATGGCAAATTATGATATTTTTTGACGCAGATACATCAATGCAACTGAGAATGAACAATATTTTGCAAGATTTTAGTCAGATTATTAAATAAATTAATAAATAAAAACTAAAAATTTAAACGAAAAATCACGTGATTGAAAACTCTCTCTGATTGGCCAAAGCTGATTTTGACATTTTTGTTGCCACATGTAGATATGCGAAATTTAAATGAGTTAATAAGAATTATACCTATCCTTTACTTTTTTATAATGTAGTAAAGGACAAAAATAGTTTCTAGCTAGTAAAATGTGTGATGATTTACTAATGAAAAATTTGGCATCCTCGCATTTTTGTTGATTTTCTGGTGTGTGACGTCACAAACCAAGTTCGCGTTTTCGCGCCATTTTAAAAATTTGATTTTTAAATAATTTTTTTTTCAAAAATAGGCGTTTTTTTTTTTCGGAAAAAAGTATACAGATAGTATTACAATGACTAAAAGAATAATTAAAAAATGTTTTTGAGAAATGTGAAAGTGGCCCATTCAAAATTTTACACTTGTATGTACAGCTGTGCCTTCTGAAAAAACTTCTCAAGTAGAATTTTGCTTATGCCACACTTGTTATTTGATTTATGTATGTGTGTTACGATTTTTCAACTTTATAGGTTGGGTCAAGCCATTATAGATATTTATTTATTTATTTATTTATTTACGGGTAACCCCCATTAATAGTTATAATAAGTAACTTTACCACATAATTTAGGTAAAGTGCTACTTTCCCCTTGAAAATAAGTGTGGTTAGCTGCACTTTCCGCACACTACACTACTAGTAACAAAAAAATATGCTTGAATAGAATTTTATTCTCACGCTACTCTAGCTAAAACTGAAGCATGTATGTATTTAAAAATGATACTATTGGTGATTTTTGGGCCTCAGTTTCACTTGAAAGAAGCTTTCTGAAAAAAACCACCACATGGAAATTCCTACAGAACAGTTTTCAAGGGAAATTCCTACAAAATGCAGTTTACGAGATTGTTTTTAAAATACAGACCGAGTAGAGAACTTACCCTGAGAAATAACTTCCTCGATGGATTTGCCATTGAGCTCAGAGATGACCTTTTTCAGTTTTTCTGCTTCAGCTTCGATACCTACTGACCCAAGGATTTTTTCAATGTCAGCCGCACTGGGGGAGGCTTTTCCGCCCAAGACGGACAAAAGGTAAGCAGCCACGTAACGCATCTACAAGAAAAATTGCAATTTTTAACCGCCATAGTAAACATCAAGTTGTAAGCACAAAAATTTATATCTTGAAATATTTCAGGAATCTTTTGGTTTTTTTGTGGGAAATTTGTTTGGGGGTGCAGGATGGGGTTTAATTCAGTTAATGGGGTAAATATTTTTGGGGAAATATGGAAAAAATACTTACTTTAAGTCGAAAGACACGAAACGAGTCTACTCACAACAAAAATGTTTTTCAAAAGAAAAGAAAAAAGAAGAGAGCTTCGATGGGTAGAGTGAAGTGAGACAGTCGAGATAAAAATTGAATTTGACGTATGAGAGTCATCAAATGTTTTCATTTTGTATCTGCCAGAAGTGCTCCAACTGCTCGTAGCAAATTGATCCTTGGCAGCTGATTGGAGCAATAAATTAGGGTGTTATTTGTACTGCTTTTTTTGCTCCAAGCAGATATCAGCAGCAGATCGATGTTCACTTGTCCCCAGAGCTGATGTATAGCTCTTAAATAGCAGATATTCATGATTTTTCAAGCAGGTGGTGCAAGAGTACAAATGAACACCAATAAATTTTATAGCGTTTTCTGTTGGTAAAACTCGTGCTGTCCGAGTTCTGCACTCAACACTGAATCAGTTCACGTTTAGTGCAATCCCAAAATAACATGAATTTGGCGCGTTTTGTCATTCTTTTCAAATTTATTATAGGCGATTTCGGCAAGTTTTGGTACATGGTTTGGTACCCTGTTTGGTCTGTCAAATGCATACCAACCAATTTCGGATACGAAAATGATGTCGTCACCGTGACTTTGGTATCCTTTTTGGTCTGTCAAATAGGATACCGTGGTCAGCAGCACGGTTCTTCTATTTGGTATAGCGCTATCTACGTCTATTTTCGTTTTGTCCTGCTCTGGGAAATGTAAATAAATGAAAGTTCATTATAATTTGAATAATTTGAAATTTTTAGCAAATATATTTGTTTTTCGCCTTCATTTTCCATGTTTTGACTGCCAAATAATGTTTAACGATCATTTAAAAAATGGCTTTGAACGACAGATATGGGGTAACTTTTTTGCTGAATGGATTATGGAATAAGCTTTACATTTACAGAAAATGCTGAGTTAGCCAATAGGTTACTACTCAAAGGTACTGTCTAGACAGTGCGTGCTGATTAGTGATTATAGATTTTACTGATTTTAGTCGGTGCAGTCAGTACCTAGTCACTCCCAAAACTAGAAGAACAACAAAGAGTTAGGTTAAGGCTCGTCTCTTCCCCTCTCTCATGACCTACCAAACGAATTCGGAATAAAATGGTGTCTTACGTCATTTCTATGACGTTGCAGGTACCAATTGGTTAACCAAATGGTATACCAACCAAAGCTTGCCGAAATCGCCTTATTTAACGATCCTGTGGCCGGTTGACATCCGCCACAATCCCTGATCTCTAACCTAACCTAAAGATATTTTCAATGGAATAAAAATTAAAAAACGTTTGTGTGTATGAAAAAGTTGAAAACGGAAGTTTTTCCTGTATGTAAAGTACATAATTATGCTGTCTCCCGAGATGTGCAGAAATAATTCCAATGATACCTGCGTTGAAATTAATTTTTATGTCAATTTCAATAATAAAATTTTGAATTTTTGGTATCTCATTATCCCTGGCAAACATTCAGGCCTATGATGTATCCTGTCCTGTTATTTCAACGTCTGTGTTAAGACTCAACATCTATTTCTGTCTCTATTTTGACGTTGCTGTTAAAATAACAGAAAATGATACATCATAGGCCTGCACTTGTAGATAATAAAAATAGGTCTGTTTCTGCAGAAATCACAAACGACACAAACCAGGGGGGGTTTATTTGAAATCCGTGCAAATCTGTCACATGCGACGCAGTCGGTCGAAATATGTGCGTCGACGAATTCTGAAAATTCACGATCGGCTTATTTAAAAGCTTGTACATTTTGTAAATCGTGAATTTTCAAATTTGCACTACTCAACTTGGCAACGTGTCCTGTAAAAGATTCTAACCAATGACATTTGTTAGAAAATTTCATGACCAAACTTCATTGGACCAAACGGAACGATGCATTGAAATGTCAAATTTGAAATTGTTTAATGTAAACAACTTTTTTGATTATTTCCGTGCATACAGTTTCGTGTTTAGCTGGAGTTTTGTGTTTTTTTTCTTGATATTATTGTAGTAAAAGAACCTTTAGAATTAAGGCTTTAATAAGCTAAAATTCAATACAGTATTGACAGTATTTTCTGACAATAACTGACAACATGACATACAACATACAGGTACATAAATATAGGGAACACAGTAAATAGTAAAGTAATGAAATATATAACATTCTTCCTCGCTCATTTTGTGACATAATCTTGAAGATATGAAGGTGGCCTATGATTTCTCTTTACCAAAACACAACTGGATTCATCAGTAGGTTTCACTGGAGGATTTTCATTGTGTGATTGTTCAGAATTTTGGGGAAGAGAGCAATTTGAATCATTCAAAGGGAACGAAGATGACAAACGTTCTGAACTGACTGATGTAAGGTTTTCTTCAGGAATAGTTAATTCATTCTTATCTTGTTCTGGTAGTGTTATGGTATTTTGATCTTGTTCTGACAGTGTCACATCTCCCCTTGGTGCTAAATGACGAGTTGATACAGTCATTTCTCTACCATTGGATAATCGTACATGAGCATAATCTGAATTTGCTTCCAGAAGATCCACTTCTTCTACTAGTGGATCAAATTTGCTATGTCTAACATGTTTCTTTAGAAAAACTGGGCCTGGGGTGCTCAACCAAGTAGGCATTGAGGTACCATTAGTCGATCTTCTAGGATGGTTGAACATGCGTTCATGAGGTGTTGAATTAGTCGCAGTACACAAAAGAGATCTTATTGAATGTAGAGAATCGATTAAAACATCTTGCCATTGTTTTACTTCAAGGTTTCTAGATTTAACCTTAAGTTGAATAGTTTTCCAAATTGTTCCATTAATTCTTTCACATTGTCCATTTCCCTCTGGATTGTACCCAGTTGTACGACTTGTGGCAACACCATGACTTGTTAAAAATGATTTCACATCAGCAGATAAAAAAGATGCTCCTCTATCGCTGTGAATATAACCTGGTGTGCCAAACATTGAGAATAGTTGAGTCAAACAGTTTATTACCGTTGCAGATGACATATCCGAACATGGAAATGCAAACGGAAATCTTGAATATTCATCTACAATGTCTAGTAAGTATTTGTTTCTATTATTGGAAGGTAACGGTCCTTTAAAATCAATGTTTAATCTTTCGAATGGTGCTATGGCTTTGATAAGAGTTCCTTTGTTTTTATGAAATCTCGGCTTTATCTCTGCACAAACCGGACATGCGGATATAACTCTTTTGATGTCTTCTAGTGAATAAGGTAAATTTTTGCATCTAATCCAATGATAGAATCTTGTGACACCAGGATGACACATCGCGTTGTGTAAATTATACAAAGTTTTGTCTGATGTTGATGGTTGAATAGCAGCAGATATCCTGGAAAGTGTGTCAGCTACAATGTTTTGATTTCCTGGCCTGTATATAATATCAAATTTGTAACATGATAATTCTATTTTCCAACGCTATATTTTCTCATTTTTGATTTTTGATGAACTCTTATTATCAAACATAAATGCAACGGATCTTTGATCAGTTATTATACTGAAATGTCGTCCCATTAAATAATGCCTCCATTTTCTTATAGCTTCGATTATTGCGTATGCTTCTTTTTCTATACTGGAATGATTTTGTTCTATTTTTGTTAAGGTTCTTGAGAAAAATGCGACAGGTTTACCATTTTGTGTCAGTTGAGCACCAATAGCAAAATCAGAAGCATCTGTTTCTACTGTAAATGGAACCTTTTCGTCGATGAATATTACAACTGCATCAATAATATCTTGTTTCAGCCTTTCAAATGCATGAATTTGTTCTCTGTTCATGGGAAAAGTTTTCACGTTTACAATGGGATGTATCTTTTCAGAAAATTTGTATATAAATTTTGAGTAGTGTGCAAACATACCTTGTACTCTTCTGAGAGAAGCAACATTTGTAGGGGCTGCTAAATTGATTAATGGCTGTAGTCTATCCGCATCTGGTTTTATGGTTTTTTTTTCTATTGTATATCCAAGAATATTGATAGTTGTCATTGAAAATTTGCATTTCTCATCGTTTAATGTTAGATTATACTTTCTTGTAATATTCATAAATTTCTCTAAGTTTTTGTCATGTTCTTCTTTTGTTTTTCCACATATTGTAACGTCATCCAAAAATGCATATGTATCAGATAGTCTTTCATTATCTATGATATTGTTAATTATACGTTGAAAACATGCTACTCCATTTGTGACACCAAATGGAATTCTTGTGAATTGATACAAGTTGTTACATGCTTCAAAGCCAGTGTAAATTCGCTCACTTTCCAAAATAGGTATTTGATGGTACGCACTACGTAAGTCTATAGAACTAAAATATTCATATTGCGAAACTTGGCTAATAATTCTATCAATATTAGGTAGTGGATATGCATCTAATAAAGTGAACTTGTTGATTGTCAACGAGTAATCAACAACCATGCGTTTCTTATGATTTACGTTACTTGCAACCAATACTTGTGCTCTCCACGGTGAATTACTTGGTTCAATGATGTTTTCTTTCAATAATCTTTGTATTTCTGTTTGTATAAATCTATAGTCATCATTAGAAAACCGTCTAGATTTAATAGCAATAGGCTGGCAATTGTCTGTTAAATTCGCGAACAGCGGATAAGGTTGAATATTTGCTGTTACTAGATTACAGATAGAAAGTTTTGATTGATTTCCACCAAAATTGAATTCTACTCCAGAATGATTTTGAAGAATATCATGTCCAATTATAACTTCAGAACAGAGATTTTCCATCACGTAAAACTTGATATTTTTGTACACATGATCTGATATTTTCAAAATCACAATACAGTATCCACAAACAGGAGAATTTAAAGATGAAGCAGCCATTGTGACATTGAGATTCGTAGGAAACACTTTGATACGTCTCTGTGTGGTGACAGTTTTTGAGATATAACTGTCCGAACTTCCAGTATCAATTAATGCATCAGTTGGAATATGATTGACTTCAATTTTAATAATAGCTTTCGATAAACAAGATGTTGAGGCTGCTGACATCATTCCAATCATAGCAGCTGAGGTTTTATTTGAATAATGAGATTGTTTTTGATATTTTGATCTACATACTTGTGTGAAATGACCAATTTTTCCACAGGAATGACAGGTTGCATCTCTTGCTGGACATTTATCTCTAGAGTGTCTGTTTCTTCCACAAAAATAACATTTTGATGTAATTACGGCAAGTGTTGTATCCATTTGTTCATTTGATTGTTGAACATAAGTCGATGATTGATTTGCTACAATTGAATTGACGTACGAATTTGAGGTATAAGATTCTGACTGTTGTTGGGCCATTTCTAAAGACCTAGCTGATTTATGTGCTTCTTCTAAGTTCAGAGTCGTATGTTCTAGAAGTCTTTGCCTAATGTGAGATGTGGCCAGACCACTAATAAATGAATCTCTTATGTAGTCATTTTTATTCTGTTCAGCAGTGACTGCTTTGAAATTACAGTCCTTACTTAATTGTATCAGAATTTGTAAGTACTGGTCTATAGATTCACTTACTTGCTGTTTTCTAGTGGATAAAGTATGACGGGCAAAAATTTCACTCTGTGTTTTTACATATAACTTTTCGAGTATGGCGACTGCTTCTATGTAGGAAATACATTCACTAATAGACTGATAAACTGAAGAACTCACATAGTTTACTAGAAGGTTTAATTTGTCCTTATCTTCTGATATTTTGGCAGCTTCTAAAAAGTTCTCAAACGTTCGTTTCCAGTGGATCCATAACTGGCTAGCATTGTTTGAATGTGTGTCAATTTCTAGTCGTTCTGGCTTGAGTAATTTGTCCATTGATTGGGTAATTATTAGCTTATTAAATTGTAGTAAAAGAACCTTTAGAATTAAGGCTTTAATAAGCTAAAATTCAATACAGTATTTTCTGACAATAACTGACAACATGACATACAACATACAGGTACATAAATATAGGGAACACAGTAAATAGTAAAGTAATGAAATATATAACAATTATCTTAGTTTATTCTTTCTATAAGTGTGGGCAATACCGCAAAAAGGATGGAAAGTGCAGGGGCAAGTGCCAATAAGAGAAGGTCCGGATTTGTTACCAAAATACAAAAAGAACTCTTGGTCGAATTTTTGCACAAATATCCGGCCCTTTTGTCGGGAAAATTTTCGAACTGCTTTTCATGGAAGGAATCTCGAAACATTCTTTTGAAAGTCGAAAGTTTTTTATAAATTCCCCGTCATTCCCTAAGCATTGTTAATGCGTGCATCTATTCTTGGATTTCTGAAGCCTTTGCGGTTATGGTTATACAATTCGGCCCTTTCTAGAGCATTTAAATTAAAAATATTTTCGAATTCCATGAGGCCAAGAATATTCTTGGTCGACTAAACTTAAATTTTTAATAACTTTCGCGTGCAATTTGGAAATGCACGAGCTCTAGAGGTGACGCATGTCAAATGCAATCTTGCGTCGACGAAAGTTTCAAATAAGCCACATGTGCATTTTTTTGAATTTCACCGCTAAAAATTGCGACTTAGTCAGACGTATTTGAATTGCACGTTTCAAATAAACCCCCCCAGTCAGAGTGAATTTCATTGGTTGAAAACAGTCAGAAACAGTCAGAAAACTAGTTTCAACCAAAGAAATTCACTCTGACTGGCTTGTGATTTCTGCAGAAACAGACCTAATAATTCTTCCTCTTCATCGCTGTCACTCGACGAAGACAAAAAATATAGAATTTTATCAATATCGATATCCATAATTTTTTGGTTTTGTTTATACACAGACTTTTCGGCACTTTACGCCATCTTTGTTGTGCCCTGACATTGGCACGAGCTCTCTGATCTCGTGCTGGAAAAGTTGCACGAGGGCAATAATTGATTGCCCTGGTTTTCCAATAGAACATAAAAAGCCGCTCGGAAACTTCCAACAGAACATAATTTTTGCATGAGTGCACAGTGCAGCACGAGTTTTACCAACAGAAAACGCTATTAATTATATCGTCACATGTTACTGTTACTACATGTCACATTCGAAAATCGAAAGTGCCATAAGCTTATCATTTTGTTTTTATGTTTTTTTTTTGTAGTGCAGTTCATCCACTGATCTGTTCATCTGGGGATTGATTCCTTGCGTTCGGTATTTTGCTCATCAGAGAGCAGAGCGTGCTGAACGGAGCCGTAATCACGTGACCAGCGAGCGAATAGAGCAGTTGTACGCTGTATCCGAGTGCCCGATATTTTAATAAACGAACGCGAACGAGCCTGTTTCAAAATAGACGAACGGTAAATTCAAGCTTGGAGAATTCAGGTTTAACCAGAGCATGTTGAACTGCGAACAGAGATTTCGGTTCGATTTCGATTCTGAACTAGTTCAAAGTTCGACAGTGGTAGAGTGTACGATTTGTCATTTGAAATTTTCAGGTTATGTTTTTTTTGGGCCTGTCACTGTCACTACCTTCACCATCAACAAATAAATAAAAATACATTTCAAATATATTCCACTTTTCACTATAAAAATTTCAACAAATGTAACATATAATAAACATGTTAAATAAGGTCTTTTTTGCACTACTTTTAGTTTACACAAGTTCCTATATATTAGAGAGTAAGTACTTTAATCTTTGACTATATAATAAAATACAGTGTAGAGCAATAACAAATTACTCATCACCTCTTAAAAGTACAAAGAAGTATCTGCTGCCTAAAAAACAAAAATTTTTCTCATGAGACACTATTATAGGCAATGCAGACAGACTCAAGGACCAAATGTATATTAAAATTAACGGATCAGTTGCATGTTACCGAAGGATGAACTCTACACACCAAATTGGTTGCTCTTGTAAGTATTTCCTTGTAATTTTTGTCACATAATAGTTCATAAAACATTGTTTTCTTTAGCTAATCGTGGTGGATCAATAGGAATAATCCATTACTGTGATACTAGTCAAGATTTAGATTTCATTCTAAAAAATGGCTCTGCAGGCCAATATATTCCAGTAATACCTACATCGCTCTTCAGTTTAGATGTAATGACAGAGCTTATTTCAAATAAACACAAAATCGCAGGGCTTATTTTACATCCCACGGAAAAACCAGATAAATTTTCACACGATACTCAATGTCCTAATAGCCGTTATAGTGTTGACGGTACTTGCTCAAGCAAATCAAGCTGGAATCCTTGGGGAACTGGACTACTTTTCGCTGACATTCCTTTTCCCATGTTTTTTACAGAAAACCAAGAACAAGTACAAATAATAAAACAATGCTTCCAAAATTTCAATAATTTCTCCTATTCCACACAAGGAGATAGATCTTTATGTTCATTGGAATTGAGCGCTTTCATGTATGCTACAACGAGCACTCCAACATGTAGAAGAAGAAACAACATTATAACAAATTTGAATCCTGTAAAATTATGCGATCCCTTGGGAGACAGTAATGTTTGGGGATCACTATTTCCTTTGGTTGAACAACAAGAAGCTAACAATCAAAATGCTAAGCCAATAAATGATTACAAATACATTGTAGTAGCTGCTCGTATGGATACAACATCTTTGTTTGAGAAGACTTCTGGAGCTGAAAGCCCTATTACTGGAGTCGTTACTTTGCTTAGCATTGCCAAGCTGCTTAAGCAAATGTTGCCTGATAACGTATCAGGGGGTAAGGAAAATATGTTTTGGAATGAGAACTATTATTGTAAAATGTCCTCAAATAATGATGACAAAAATAAAAATCCTCTTCAAAACAGTATCAAAACTTTTCCAAGGTTTTGTCACAATATCAAGATTTTCTGATCAACAATACATAATATGTATATTTTGACCAGAAACCTTGGCAATCTTTTGAACAAAGAATTTTTATTCTTGTCCTAAACCTGATCTTATTAGATTAGATTAGATCAGATTTATTAAAACAATAAGGTCTCCTGCTGTACAGGGTGCTGCAATGGAGTGTTTTGACAGGAAAAACATACTTCCAATTCTTGAATTATCTCGCATATGAAAATTTATATGATTTCGAATGTTTCCTAGTCAATTTATGTTGCTGTCATTCGAATTCGAATCAACTTACGTATGCGAGTATATTCAAGAATTGCCCCCCTGTCCTTATTGCTTAACTATTACCCAAAATCAAAGCTGTGATAATCCTTTATTCTTAGATGTAGACATCAAATTAAAATATTAGACCAAAAAAAAGTATCCAGTTTTTCAATTTTTGAATGATATAAAGTACAGGGTGTCCCAAATTCGAGGGCCAACATGGGGATATCAGTAACCATTAGAGATAGGAGGGTGGTTAAATTAGTCAAAAGTTTCGCATTTTAATGCTTAACAATATGACGTTTTAAAATTTGAGAAACTCGTAATACTTTCGGAAATATCCGGAAATTGCTATTCTGGTTTTTATTTTTTCCAGGCTTTATTTTAGGAGATCGAGAAAAATTAAGATAACTCTCTTGAAGCACTTTTGGGTGGTCTTCACTGTGGTGATATTATTTTAGAAATTCGACGTTTCGGTTTTCAAACGCCATCATCAACCTAATTTTTTGTAATACGGACCTGGATTTTTTTAACATAATTTGTTAGATTTTGACATTCTTAAATACGTTATATATGATACGTTTTGAAATTCCTACGTTTCGACCGACAATATCCATTCTCAGACAAAATCGCAATTTTCGGAATTTTCCGGAAGTTTCGAGAATTTCTCAAATTTTAAAACGGCATTTTGTTAAGTATTAAAACGCGCAACTTTTGTCTAATTTAACCACCCTTGTATCTCTAATGGTTACCGATATCCCCATGTTGGCCCTCGAATTCGGGACACCCTGTACACTGAGATCAAAAAAAGTATTCATATTTAATTTGATTGATTCTTTCTAGTAAGAAAGAACGTTCTCTTCATTTTGTTCAACGGAGAAACTTACGATTACATTGGCTCTCAAAGATTGCTCTACGATATGGAACGTGGACATTTCCCCACTGATTTGCCTATTAACAATGACATACTTCCCACGATTTATCCAGAAAATATAACTTTATTCATTGAACTATCTCAATTAGCCCCTGGCAGGGCTACCTATGCTCATTACATAGCTAATAGTGAACTGGTAACAATTACAATAATTTATAATTTTTGTATTACATTAAATATATTTTAGATAAATAAATTCGTCCAATCCCTTTCCGAAAACAACCCATCCAATTTACCAGTAAATTCTGTTCCAAATAGCTTACCACCATCTTCCCTCCACACTTTTATCAGAGGCAATTCCTCGATTAAAGGTCTAGTATTGACCAATCACGAAAAAGAATATAGAAATCATTATTACAATTCTTTGTACGATAATGCGTCCAATATAGAGTTTGTGTATATGAATGGTAGCAATATACCTCACAATAGCATACAAAAATATGTTGGTGATGTGGCAACGATGGTTGCTAAAAGTATTTATCAGGAGTTGATGGGGCAAAATTATACTGATTTGGCCGTACTCAATTTGACTTTGGTAATTGTATTGAAATTTAAAAGGGATGCAAATAATGCAAAAGTTTTTTTTTAGGTCGATGAAATGTTCCATTGTTATCTGGAAGATCCTAATTGTAAGCTGCATATGGCTGTACAGAAAGGGGTAAGTATTTTTTTAGGATGTTATATTGTTTTTCATTAGTTTTTTTTAGCGATTGCCAAAGTCTCCTCTAAGCCTCTATGTTGGAGTCAGTGTGGTGGATAATTTCTTCACTACTTTGGTGACTAGGACGTTGGCTTGGTTTACCGGTGACCCGGTTGCTCCTTCAGGTCCTAACTGTACTAATTTGGTTGGGAATCATGTAAGGATTTTTTTGAATTCTGATTATAATGGAGAGTGACTGAAACTGATTTTTACACCAGAATGTTATGACTCTTGTCTAAAACCTTAAGAGAGCATATAACAAAGTTTGAAGAGCAAGAAGAGTTTATTAGAAACATGTTTTTGTTATAATTCCATAATGTATTATTTTCTTTTTCAGGTCTTTGTCTATTATAATTTGTCTCACAGCCTAGACCGACTGGATGACATGTGGTGTTACAGAGCTACAGTGAATATGACTGAAGCTGTAAGCCCAGCTTTTATTATAGAAGGTATAAACAAAATTTTCCAATAGAAAAATCCTAAATTTTAATTTTATAGATTATGATTGGTCTTCAAATAAATACAGTTCCTGGTCCGAATCAACCTGGAACGATATGGGAATGCGCATGTTCCTGACACCATCCTCTGCTCACCAAAAAGTTACTATAACATTAGGATCGATAGTTATGATATTTTCATTTATCATAGTTTACTTTATGAAATCTAAATCTCATGTATTGTTTAATTTGCCTGTTAGGGAAGATCCACCAGCGAATTGTTAGGAATAATTTCCTCATTATTGAAGTTTCAAAGACAGGTTTTTTTGTATTCAAATTCATTATAGGTTTGTTCCAACTCTCACTGCAGTTGCTTTGTTGATGTTGGAAGTGTTGGAACAGACTCCGTGTAAGCAATTTTTTTAGAATAATTTTCTATTTAATTTTGAGACTGAAATTGCTTATAGGTAGTCATAAATTTGTTATTCAATTAGTTTTTTTACGTGCGTCCATTGGTAATTATTAAAGTACATATTTGTTTGGCCACAAAGAGACATTTAAAAATTCTATTATATAAGAAAATAGTATCAAAATCTAATAAAAAAAGTACAGAATTCAGATCAATGGAGAATTAAATAAATTATTTATTTATGTTTACAAAATCTAAATGTCCATATCAAAAAATCGATAAAATTATTTAAATAAATTGCATTTAACAAAATTTATATACTTATTAACACATCCTTGATACTTTTAATTTATTTGGGTATCATCTTAGAGGAAAGTTTTATGAAATAATACAATAATCTTCTTGTAGGTAATTTTAATATTTGTATTGTGATAAAAAAAAAATTATAATAATTACAATTTTATTATTTTGTTTCAATTAATTTGTTTGGTAATTCATGCCATCTTTGACAATCCAAAATCAATTAATCTCAACTATTTGCAACAATTGTCTGGTTCTTATTGGAAACAAATCAATCTTCGATGACCTAGTATTTATATTTTTTAAATTTCCTGTATATTTATGCTTTTAATTTATTAATACAACTTTGATAAGATTATCTATTTGGATTTATTTTTACCTATTTGTATTGGATTTCTGAAGACATTTAAGTGTACTCAGCAAATTTTTGTACTGTAAGAAAATACACATTTAAAAAAATCAATCGTATAAGTTTCAGACTCTATTGTTTTCTGAGGTTTCCAATTCCACAGATCATCAACATCTTTAACAACAACTTAGAGGCCATAGGAAAAAACTCGAAAAAAAAATGTTCACTTTTATCAAGGAAGAACTTTATAACTAATAGAGTCGTGTATAAATGGAATGGGTTTTAGGAGAATACAGTATTGGCATCAACGCCGTACTCTTTAGAACAGGCTGGATAGCAAATTAAATGCAGTCCATACTCAAATTGTAGACTATATGTGAACGTTGACTGACTACCTGGGAAATTTGCAAGTGAAAGAACTCTAATAAAAAGATAATAAAGCAATAATAACAACGGTTTTCAACCGCTTCCTATTGCTTTGAATAATAATATTTTTTCTTCACAAGGCTCCTCAATTTTCTTTATTTCAACAAATTCAAGAGGAATTGAAAAAAAATTGGTAGACACAAAATATTTTGTTTCTATCTTAGAGCAGGTGAAGCGCTGTCCTACCTACCTACCAATCAAAAAGTATGAATCTGAATAACCACGAAAATAACCCTTGGGGACCTGGGACACAGAAAGTAAACCAATATTTTCATGCTTATGTAGATACCTATACAGTTTGGGTTCAAAAATATAAATAAGGGACCAATGGGAATTGAAAAGGAATAGTCCTTTAATAAAACGAGAGCGGAGTTTTATCAAGTGGTAACTATAGAATAGTAATTAGAACTACATTTTGAAGTACACTATTTCTATTTAAAATCATACAAATTTATTGGCACAATTATTATTACAATAATCACAAAATACTAGCTTCATATGAATAAAAGCATGTCAAATATTATAGAAACTGTAAAAATTAGACTGAGTAAAACATAAATCTATAAATATGTACATACTTATTCATATTCAATTATGAAAAAAAGTTGAAATTATTTTCATAAAAATAGAAATTAGCAGTTAATAAAATCTTCTCACTAAAATATACGATAAAATTTGAATCTGTTTTACATCAACAAATCACAATAATTATAATGGAACACACTATACTTATTTTATAAATATTTTAAAACTTACTAAATACTGTTTAATAAATGCTATTATACAATAATTAGAAAATGTCTAACAAAATAAAATGGAATGCCGTACCTAATAATTATACTCTAGTTAGGTATAAATATTAATTTTTCTGAAATCCTTACTGACCATTCAGCTTATTATTTATGTGAAAGAAATTTTTCACAGTTCAGTTGTCATTTGATTTGTAAGAGCCTGAACCCTCTTAGCGTTGCAACTTTTACACAAAACATGCCCGTCCAATGGATAGCAACCTCTTCCCTCAGCTTCTGAAGACAAAACCAAACCACAATCCTACAACAAGAGATGAAATAATTGATTTGTATTAGCGAAATCAATGCTCTTACCTCGCATTTGTAACACTGAATATGAAAACTATGATCCAGGGCAACAACGCGAACAGTTTCCTCTTCGCCCGCCTCAGGCATGATCGGTTGCTTACAAACCCAACATCTCGGGGCAAACATCCTAAAATAATTATTATATATAATATTAAAAACTAGGCAATTTTTATTGAAATATTACTTGTGGAAGTCCTCAATACAATGGACGCGATTAGTAGCATCCACAGTGAAGGGAATACCATCCAAACTTTTACCGCAAACAACGCAACAAAAACATCCTGGATGATAGGGTTTGCCTGTAGCTCTGAGAATTCTGTCCAAAATTGGTTTTTGACAGACGCAACATTTTTCTAAAGTGTTCTAGAAAACAAATATTATTTGGTTGAAATTAGGTTTGAATTAAATAACTATGCCTGCTGGAATATTTTGAAGATGGACTAAATTAATTAATTGTGATAATGTAATCCTGATTCCTGGTATTGTTTTTCAAGTTTTTATTTTTATGTTTTCTATTATGTTTTTTGTAGATTGAGAATGTGAAAACTTGACAGGAGCACATTTTTGGAATTTTGTTTGCATGTGTTTTTCTTTTTTTTTGGTTCTTTCTGGAGATGTTTATCTTTATTTATATTTTATTCTGTTCTAATCTAATGTATTTTAAATTATTGATAACTATATTGAGACGTTTTCGTGTGATATAAAAACTGTTTAGTATTTAGGGGAAAAAAAAAAAGTACAGGGTGGCCCAAATTCGAGCCTCATCATTGAGATCTCGGAAACTGTAAGAGATACAGGGTCGGTCAAATTATGGCAAAGTTGCGCAATTTTATGACCAATAGAATGCCGTTCCGAAATTAGGAAGATTCCGAATACTTCCGGAGATATTCGGAAAAAACCGAAATTTTGTAGAATCGTTTTTATGTTTCCCAGGCTTATTTGAAGAGCAATTTTAAAATAAATAAATAAATAATCACTTCATCATTGTCACTTTTTCCCCTTTAGAAGATGGTGCTACTAAATTTAAAGTCCGACGTTTCGTCTTCAGGCGGCCATCTTCAACTTCCTTTTTTTAAATATGGACCTGAATTTGCGATTTTGTCATCTTTGGGCATCCTAAAACCGATACTGTTTAGAATTTTTCAATAACACAGTAGGGACATAAAGCTTCCGTATTTTTTGCTCAGTATCCGTATCGGTATCGTACTGCGCATGTGCAGAAGCGATACGGAGGCCGAGATACCGTACGTACAACGTAACGTTACGGCCCTCTCGCGGTATCCGTATCGGTAACGTATCTTGACATTCCTGACACATGTGTCAAATTTTAAATGAATATAACCTCACTTTTTTTCCGGGTTGATTTAATTTGTTTAGTTTATACTTCCTTGAGTTTCTTGTGTGTTTAGTGCTTCTCTATCGCAAAAGAAAATAACAATTTTAAGGTTAGATATAAAAACGCAGGAGTTTTGAGACAAAAATTTCTAGATTATGAGATGCGTTTACGTTTACCGGAACAGGGAGCGCTTTAACAGCCTTTTCGCTTGTCAACGTATCTAGTTGCGTTACGGATACCGATACCGGCGAATTATTTCAAGTAGCTTTATGTCCCTAGTAAAAAAAAGCAGGTCCGTATTTAAAAAAAAAAAAATTGATGATGATTCCAGAAGAACGAAACGTTGGATTTTAAATTTAATACCGCCATCTTGTAGAGAAGAAAAAGTGACAATGATAATGTGAAATTAGTTTTTCAAAATATTTTGAAATAAAATCAGGGAAAAATCAAAACTATACGAAATAAACATGAATTTCTCGTATTTTTCATTTTTTTTCCTGATTTTATTTAAAAAGATTTTGAAAAACTAATTTCACATTCTCATCGTCACTTTTTCTTCTCTACAAGATGGCCGTATTTAAAAAAAGGAAGTTGAATATGGCCGCCTGAAGACGAAACGTCGGATTTTAAATCTAGTAGCACCATCTTCTAAAGGGGAAAAAGTGACAACGATGAAGTCACCTTTATTTTAAAATTGCTCTTCAAATAATCCCGGGAAAAAATAAAAACGATTCCACAAAATTTCGGTTCTTTCCGAATATCTCCGGAAGTATTCGGAATCTTTCTAATTTCGAAACGGCATTCTATTGGTCATAAAATTGCGCAACTTTGGTTTAAGTACTTCGAACAATAAAGCACAGTTCTATTCTATTCTATGATAAGAGCTGGGAGCTGGGTATTATTAACAACAAGTTTTTCTCTTGACTTGTAATTTGGGATGATCGATGTAATAAGATTTATTATCGTAATAGCTCACTACGTGATTTTGCGTGGCTCATGTAATATTTACTTATTATTGGAGCATACACCGTGATTGTCGTAGCTTGTGCATTAGAATTCAATTGGATTGCAGGTGGATTAATAGAGATAGCATCTAATCCACCTGTAAACTAATGCACGGGCTACGTAAATCAGCCTGTATATCTAATACCCTTTGTCGCTGAAATTTTTTATTTTTTGAAGAACAAAGCATATTGGGTATGAGTATCAGTAAAGGCTCATAATATAAACTGCAACAACTGTAGTTTTTAAAATAAAGACATTTCTTTGATAACCCACTTACCAAATAGTCTTCCTCGCAGTAAGGGCGTCCGTCAAGGGCATAAAACGGCTTCCCTTGCAAATTAATAGCGCAATGATGACAAGTAAAACATTTAATGTGATACAGTTTGTCCATAGCCGTACAACCACTATTTTCTCCTATGATCTTTTATTTAAAAAACAAAAAACAAATTAATAAAAACATACAACAATCCTGAAAAAACAAATACCTTATCACCACATTGAACACAAACTCCATAAACATCTTCCTGATCAATAATATCAGACGGAGCATGTCCCATCCCCTGAACCAACATATCTGTCAAACTATCAACTTCCAGCTCCTTATTATGACCAATTCTGCTTACAGATTGACTGGGTCCCGTCATAGTGCTACTCGCGCCACTATATGGAGCGTACAAAGAATAGTTTGATCTCGACGACATTTGACTTGGCGGTCTCGGATTTATAGGCTCGTAAATCGATTCGTACGTGGACGACGCTTGCGATCCCATGCTATAATTATGGAAATCCTGGCCTGGTTGAGTGGCTCTGCGTAATTCGCTGTAGCTGGAGCTCACAGGTGAAGGTGGAGGTAGAAGATCTTCAGGTGGTGGAGGAAGATTTGTGTTTACCGTACACGGCGCGTAGTCTGCTAGGCCGGATGACATGTCTAAAGGAGGCGGCGGAGGTGGAAGATCATCTAGAAATGGTGGTTGTTTATTGAAGATATTCAATGGGTTAATATTTTTTCAGGCATTAATTTTGATTGTAGTTCAATATTAATTTTCTTTTGTTAAAACTGATTTACAGTGACAGTTTGGTCATAGTGGTGCAGATAATAGCCACAAACAAATGCAGTATCAACAAACATAGGCTTGTTCTTTTTGCTCGAAGCTTGAAGTATTTTCCCTTGCATTTTCATTTTGTTCCGAGTATTCGCTCGGTGATTCCTGATATCACAATAAAACAAATGGTATGTTATGAGCTGCAAAGTTGTCAGGCTTCTTACCAGTGAAAAAAAAAAAAGATAAAAGAAAAGGAATGAGAATACTTAAGAGGAAAAGTTGAAAGATCAGATCCTAGAGGAACAAGTTGATGAACTGAGTTGAGGCAAGGATTCTCTTCTTTTCATCTTCATTGGCCCAAAATTGATTTTAGTCCCCAAATGAAATTGAGAAATATAATGACCAATATCGATCGATATACTTAACTGGTATATTCCTTCCAGTTGCCACCGCTGAAAGGTCATTTAGTAAATTAAAAATATTGAAAAATTACTTGAGAAATTCTATAATGCTGCCTGATCTGTCTATGTTGTCTATCATACATAACACAGCATCCAATATGGATATTGGGTATTTAATTGCTGCAAAAAAATTATCCAGTGGATAAAGGAGCCATAGATAATCAAAATTTGAACTATTACCGGCTCTTGATTCTCTGGAAAACTTTCCTAAAGCCAATCAAGAGCCAGTAATAGTTAAAATTTGAACTTTTATCAAATCTGGATTCGCTGGAGAATTGTTCTAAGTGCAGTCAAGACTCAAGAACCGATAATAATCAAAATTTCGATTACTCATTGGTAGCTCTTGAGTTGATAATAATCAAAATTTCTTCTTTCGCAGCTTGTAATTGGCCCAAGAAAAATTATCCAATTAATCAAGAGCTACAGATAATCAAAATTTGAACTATTACTGGCTCTTGATTCTTTGGAAAATTTTCCTGGAGCTGATTAAGAGCTGGTAATAGTCAAAATTTGAACTTTTATCAACTCTGGATTCCCTAGAGAATTCTAAGTGCAGTCAAGACTCAAGAGCCGATAACAATCAAAATTTCGATTACTCATTAGTAGCTCTTGAGTTGATAATAATCAAAATTTCTTCTTCCGCACCTTCTAATTGGCTCTTTTAGTTGAACAATTTGCCTTTAATAAAACCCAGTGAGGCCCAATTGTGATATTTGCTCAGGAGCCCAGTGCATCCAAGCGCCGCCACTGTCTCTGAGAAAGTGACCTTCCTCTTTGTCATCTTTGAGAAAAGACATCAAGGTAAAATTGGTCGTCAGAAGAATTCAAAAAGAAGGGTTAATGCTCTTTGGAGGTAGAAACACATAATGACTTTTCTACAAGATGCAGAATATTTTATTACCTACTTTGTCTGACAAGAGTTTACGAGACTTTTGTTTGGAGGAAGTACAAGAGACTGCATGCTCACGGAAGATTCCTGGTGTATGAGCTTTTTTCACATAAAAAGAGCAGATGAAAATGTTTGAAGTAACACACTGCTTTGTGACAAACCCAATCCAGTGATTATTCTGTTCTAAATCTATTTTTTTTTGTTTTCAGTTATCCTGCACTACAATCCAAAGTTATAGCAAGCCCAATAAGTTTAAAATATTATTTTTATCTAATCAACTTTTACTTCTCACCTCCATTAGGATAAGGTCCCCTGTTTTGGGGTAAGTTACTATAAACAGCCCCACCTCGTGGCGCATGTGATAAGTTGGTGTAAATCATCCCGTCGTTGCCCCTGGACGGACCCATTTGAATATTGCTATAGGTAACGTCTGATTTTTGTTGATACGGTTTCGGAGTAGAACCACCAATGGTTGATGCAGAACTAAAATGAATAATGATGATAATTAATAATGGGTGAAGATTTTTTGTACAAAATAAAACTAGGAATTTCTTGTAATGACAAAGTTTTGTGTTCAATTGAAGAATACATACTTCCTACCTTTCTATTGTACATACCTAGTGTTTTTCGTTGCATATCCACTGCCATAACTAGCAGTACTTCTTGGTAACGAGTTATTACTCAGAGCAGAAGCACTTCTAGAATATTGTTCGCTCGGTGTGCCTCTAGGAACATTAGCGTAGTTATTATCAGAAATACCATCATATTTTGGATGGGGTGGGGTATTGGAGTACAGTGCTTGTTGTTTAGGATTAGGCAAATTCGAGTAAAACTGATTAGGGTGTATTCTGGAAGAATAACTGGGTTCCACTGAATGTTTTAGAGGGTACGACTGTGGCACCAGAGGTTGTTGTTTTTTGGGTTTGGGCGGTACAGCGGGACCGACTTTTTTCCCGGGAGTCAAATTTGGATTGGGGAGTAGTTCTGATTTATTGATAAGGGCTAATTCAGCAAGTTGTCTGTCTAGTTCGTTCATTTTTTCTTGGTAACTTGAAAAACCTGAAAACAATCATTGATTTTTTGGATAATTACATAATCACATAGATGGAAAAAAAAATCTTATAAACAAGTCATCAATAAACTTACAATGAGAGAAAGCGATATCTAAAAACTGTGCTGTTGTTGCATTAGTAGATATAGATGGCAAAAAGATTCACAATTTCTTTACTAATAGACGGATGTCAGTTTGTTGAATACTATTTTCTATGGATTCCAATTCAACACTATACTTAACAAAGTGCGCTCTATGGTTCCAAAAAAAAGCTTTCCCTAGTCTCTTATAATAGATAACTTTAATTCAGTTTTTGAACTTTTTCAGCTAAATTAATGATTTTTCATCAAGTGAATTTGTTGTCTTACTTGAAAAATAAGACTAAAAAGTAATATTCTTGCGAAGTAATACATAGACCGTTAGAGAGTAATAGATTTTAGTACTCTATTTTCGCATATAAGCTTTGAAGAGGGGTTGAAATAAAGTGCATACATCGATTTTCAGTAGAATGAAAGACAATTTACGACTGCCTCCTCGGGATAACATATAGAAAATTCTACTTTATTCTGGCTTTGGAAAACCGAAGGCTTGAGTGTTGCTGATTGGTTAAAATAAGGGTACAATCTTGTGAAAAAAAAATCGAGCAATTTTTTCATAGGAATAATCGAATTTTCTTTATTATCTCCAGGAGCCACTCATAAATTTCCCTTCATTCTACTCAAAATCAATTTAGGTACTTTTAACCCATTGCAAGGCTTCTATGTAAAAACGGGGCATCCAAAAGTGTCACTAACTGATGATGCAAAATCGGAGTTTAATATTATCATTTTGGTTAGTTTCTAGAGTGAAATTAGGATTAATATGAACTTTTCTTCTGAATGTGAATACAAATATCAAAAAAATATTTACACCTATTAAATTTAAAAATCACAAAGTTGAACATTAGATACACTGCAAACTAAACAAATCTGAATCAACTGCTAATAAACTAAATTTTTTGTATTTTCGCACATATTTTTTCTTCTAAATTAGCCTCATTGAGAACAAATTAAGCAGGTTTTTTTTTTCTAAAAGTGGGAAAAATATTTACTTGTCTACATTAATTTTCAATTATCATTGTTTATCAGAACTTAGAACCCACTCACAGCTTCTTAGGAGTGTTATTGATTTTTTGAATAGGCTTGTTTGTTGGGGTTTAAAATATGAACAACATTCTCATATCATAATTAATCCATATATTAAAAATAAAAACATACCATAAATTAACAATAATATATTATTGTGTAATACTATTTTGTTATATTATTGAACTCTACTTACGTCCATTATAAGTTTTGTTAATTATTGTAATAATGCAATAAATATTTTCTACTTGGCAGGTAAATAATGTATCTTGCAAAATACATACTAGAAAGACCATTCAAACAAGACAAAAGACATTTTAGTTGAAAGAATGGTTGGAATCAAGTCACTCTTCTAAGACAAATCACTACCACAACTGTTTTAAATTTTGGACTAGGTCTCTATTAGGTATTTTTTGTTACAAATGAAACAATTTTACAAAAATTCGCCTTATGATGATTTACGTAGACTAAGATGTTCACATAAATGTGGTATAAAACTAAACCCGAAATCAATTACCAGAGCATGTGACTAAATTAACAAAAGTTGTACTAAACAGTAAACGAAATTCCACTAATAATTTATTCACATTTGCTTTTAACAGTAGCAATAATCATATTTGTTTGATGAATCAAAAACAATGCGCTGACAAATACTGAATTGGCTTGGCCTTCTTTAAAGTAATCTTTCAGGGTGTTGCTGAATTTTTTGGAATATTTGACAAATTCCCGCTTTTTCTGTTCCAAAGCTTGTTTGCCCATAGTGCCAGGGATGAAGCCGTTCACTTCATTGACTGCATCGAGTAATTTTTTTATTGCACTCGCAATTTCTTTAATAGTTTCCAAAAACTTTTTTCTATCGGAAATTTCATCTGGAATTCTGCTTAGAATCTTCTTCAAAGCAGCACTTTTCCTGTTTAATTCTTGAAACGCATCTTCGGATCTATTTAGTTTGTACTCGTCAGTATCAGCCACTGCACCTTGAAGCCTCAAAATACTTTCGTTCATATTAACACTGAGATCAGATTGCTTCAGCAATCCCATAACAAAATCCAAAGACAATCCTGGATGGGCACTCTCAGCTTTAGCAAAAGCCGCTCTGAGTGTTTGTGAAGCTGCCATATCATGTTTTTCTAATTGAGACAGGATGTGACGTATTAGGACTGGCAATATGACGGTGGTTACTGGAGTTCCATCGTCCATGGTCATTGTTTAGATCGCCCTAAAACAAACGATTTTCAAATTACAGCGAGTTTGAGCAATGGAGAATAAACGAGCAACCAAAAAAAGTGTTGCATTTAGGATAGATGAAATCATCATCGTATCATAAAGTACTTACTGTTTGGTATATATTTTCAAAGTACTTACTAAAGGTCACTGATTTTTAACACTTTACACACATTTTCGCTTAGGTATTTATCGAAGTAAGATGATATATTTGTATACATTATTGTGGAAAAATTACCTTGAGTTATTTGTATTCGAGAGAAAAAAAAAGTTGTCCAAACAAATAAATTGTTTTCACATTTTCTGGGTCGTTCATTCTCCTTGCTTTAAACGTTTAATTTCCTTGAAAATATTCACATACACCAAATGAAACACCCATAACCATTTAGCAGTTAAATAATATAATAATCATTACTCATTACCACACACGAGGTAATTTTTATCTTATCAATGATGACTTCATTGGAAAATATAGATAATAATTATTGAGTCATTTTCAATTAAAAGTATGATTCAAAATGCATTTCTTACGCAAGTACTTGGTATTTTTAAAATATATAATATTATTGGGAAATATGAAATTTATAGTTAAAACGACAAACATTAATTTATATACTGATAAAATGGAAACATTTGCTTTTATATTTGTGGCGAGGCTACTTATGCATTGGCTCTCAAAAATAATTTATTAATTTGCAATCATTTTTACGATTTCAATATAAGATTTGTTTTTTTTCTGAAAATTATGTCCTTCTACAGTAATTTAACGCATGGTGCACAAAACAGCACATGTTCTGGGTTTTCGAGAATTTGTCATTGTTCCAATGATAATCTATTTTGAAAAGCATCAATCAGGCATCACTTTGTGATGAGTGTGCACTTTCCTGCACTGGAATAAACAATAAAATAAGGGAAGGATATTGTCAATTACTAGAGGAGTTTTATTTAAAACCGAGTTTAAAACCCTATATTATTGTCTAAATCTTATTTGTGTTTGTTACACTAATTCAATTTTTTTGTGTTTTCTGTTTCACGACAATCTTTCATCTATTAGGTAGTTTATTTTATTTAAATACAGTGTGTCACAGCTCAGAAAAACATAAAATCCATTTTGCGAAATTTCATTTTTTCCAGGATATCTCCCAGAAGGGTTCGAAATTTTTCAAATGTCAAAGGACCATTTTATTGAGCGTTAAATTGCGCAACTCTTTCCTAATCCACCCAACATTGTTACTCCAACCGTTCTCCAGATCCCAATGCTATCCCATCCTTATCTTGGACATATTGTATACTCTAAGCGACAACCACAACCTTCTAGGGCACTCTAGGAAATTGGAGAAAAAAAGATGTTCTAAACTTCTCAGAAGAAACTTCTTGTGCAATAGGGTGGTCTATATGTGGAATTCGCTAAGTGGAAAATCATTTACAGCTCCCAGTACCAACTCGTTCAAAAATAGCCTCGCTAGCGACCTCAGTTTGATGTTCAAGACATTTATTCATTATTCTGTGTAAACTACTTAACACACATCTTATGAAGTCGTTGAAAAAGCAATCATCTGAACTTAATGTATACGGCAGCTACGTCGGTTCTACTGCTTGCTGTTGTTTAAATAATAATAATAATAATAAGTCCGCGTGGCTGCTAATCCCATATCGGACGCCTTCCCAGGTGGTGGATAGGGGAATGCCTACCAGATATGGTGGGTACCGAGGAAATCAAATACTCGGGTTGAAAAATCAGCACGGACGCGACGGTACTCCATGCTAGGAGCGGCACTCCAAGAGCGTCTATACTCCATGTTAGGAGCGGCGGAATACTGGTCGTTAGAGACTTGCTGGCGGGAGCATATCTTGTAACTCAATTTATTTGAAGCAATGAAAATACAAAATAAGGGAAAAACCAACTGTAGCGGTAGGGATATGAAAGCGAGTATACCCTTCGGAACCGTTGTGGTGTTTCGCTTACAGTGGATGTTGATGAAGCAAGTGGCGTTACTCCACTGAATGGAACCATAAGAATGGCTACAAATAAGTACAACGAGACCTGCAGCAAACCAAACCAAAAAATATCTTTCACCAGAGAAAATATAATTAGAGCGGTAAGCTTGCACATGTATGGATATCAAGATTCTCATGGTCAGCTGAGACAAGATGCCGTCAAATATATACGAAGAAACTGGAAGAACCTGCAGGCTTATGTTGTGCTGGAAGAAGACAGGTTAAAAAGTGCTAGTGAATATGGCACAAATATGAGTAAGACAACAACATTTGGAACGAGCCTGGAAATACTGGCACTCGCAGAAACACAGAAATCAACATTTAAAATATACTCCTCCGAATCACAACCAACAATACGAATATTTAGCACAAACCAGCTGCTGGATTCTATTTTACGAGTCGAGTCGGAATTCGTATCGAATTGTCAAAATAGCGATTCTTTTTTTCGATTTTTCGATACATATTACATGGTACGTCCGGAGCTGTCGTATTCAATATCGAGACAATACGACTCGACTCGTAAAATAGAATCCGGGGGCTGAAATTATAAAAAGATCATTCACTTACTAGTAATTGGAAATCACCTGGCAGGCCATTTTGAGCTTTCAAAACCTTGCATTGCAAAGAACGATGATGATATTGAAACTGTGGATTTTCTAAGTAAGCATGAACTTGCAGAAAATAATGGTGAGGTTGCAGCTAAATCTGAAACCAGCTTATGTGTTACACGGAGTGAAAATGCACTGAAACCTGCGTCCACTAAAGCTGGGAAGGAGAGTACGAATGAAATGGAATCAGGACACTAATAAATTTATTATACGTACTTTTTACTTGATAACAAAATTAGAATCAAATAGACTTTACTGAACATCGCAAAATATTACATGAAGAATTTACTAAAAAATATCCTGAAGTAAATGTGTCTGAGCAAAGATTGTCTGATTAAAGAAGAGTCATAATTGAAAATAAACTGTTAAACGATGGGATACTTGCAGAACAAAAAGGTGGAGCGGCCAAAATGATCCAGTGTCAGGAAAATGAATCAGAGCCACCTGACTCTGTATTAAACACAAAAAAAAAAAAACGGTTCCTCAGAAGTAAATGAAATTAACATAGAAAGCACAATGGAGGTATACAGATATCGGAGATTCAGAGCAATGATGATGTGTTATTCAATACTCAGGAAATGTTAAACAATGCACTTCAGGAAAACTTAACACAGAAATTCCTGAAAAATTTTGAAGAATATCAATATGTACCTCCTGAAAATAGACCAAAACTGCCCAGATTAAGGTGTGATAAACGAATGGTTAGCATAACTGTGTTTTTTAACCTCCAGATTTTACCAAAACTGCTAAGTGGATTTAATGATCTGAAATAAATACAAGCACTTGTCTACTGTAGTGCCTCAACAATGTCGGAATACCTGGGATATAATATCACATGGCAAATCAGACTTGAAAGAAACATAGAAGCTTTGAGAAAGGACATAGGAAGTCTTACTCAACATATCAGAACTCTTTAATGCACATTACTAAAAAATAAAGTTCAATACATCCTCCGAAAACACCGCGTTCATAGCATACATGAAAGCCTAAATGTAAGACCAGAAGAATTCCTAGACACTCTAAAACAAAAGCTGGCATTGAAATCCAACAGACTTGCACGGTAGAATAAAGCCCAGAAACGGAAACACCAAAACTCATTATTCTGTGCTCGATTCTGTGCTAAGAAAAAGAGATTCTATCGAGATATCATAGAAACAAAAGAGATACAACCTGGTGCACATTTAGGTTTGCCCAATATTGAATCCTTGTACGAGTTTTGGTCTGGCATTTGATGTCACCCAGTCGAACATAATATACAAGCTAATTGGATTGAATATATAAAAGCAGAAAATGCAAAAATAAATGAAATGAGACCTAGAGAATTTTCAACAACAGAAATTTCAAATATCATAAAAAAACAAAAAAACTGGGACTAGATCAAGTGCATGCTTATTGGTATAAAGCTTTCAATGTCATCTACGAAAGGCACTATGATTAAAGAAGGGAGGAAGAAAATGCTAAAGTTTTTAACTAAGGGCATAACACACTTAATACTCAAAAGCACAGAAGCACAGGACCACACACAGTATATGCCCATAACGTGTTTACCAACACTTTATAAGATATTCACTCCGGCAATCTCTACTAGAATTGTCGAACATCTAGAAAGAAACTAATCAAATATTATCTGAAGAGCAAAAGGGCTGCAGAAGAAACCATATGGGATGCAAGGAATAACTGATAATTGATACAACAATACTGAATCATGCTTTTAAAAATAGAAGAAAGCTAAATTGCACCTGTATTGATTATAAAAAGGCTTTTGACAGCATACCTTATTCTTGGCTTATTCATGTACTAAATACATATGTACAAAGTAGATCCAGCACTGGTGCAATGTTTAAAAATCATTACGTCAGGATGGACCACAAAGCTAATGATCACAATAAATGGGAATACTATTACCACACCCACAGATACATCTCTTTTACATAAGGCTGTTGTAATGGCGGACAAAAACTGCACCCCATTAAAACTATCGAATTGGACATTAAATTATTTAAATGCTAATTATAAACAGAGAAAACTGGATAAATGAAAAGCTAAGGAGTTACATGCCAGATTTTATAATGACCTAATGCCACCAGACATTGATAAAGAAGCGTCAAATGCCTGGATTAAGAGAGGAAACCAGTTCCCAGAGACGGAAGGATTTATGATGGCGATACAAGACAGTCATAAACACAAAAAATTACAACACAAGAATATACTGAGAAACAATCTGAAAATGACATATGGCGGAAATATAAAAAAGCCTCAGAAACGATACAACATATAACAGGTTGCTGCCCAATGTTAGCTCAAACAGAGTGTTTATACCCATACCGACATAACTAGGTTGCTGCTATCATACACCAACAAATAGCTAAACATGTTAAGCTAACTAATGAAAAAGATGTGAAATGACTTGAATATGGAAAGCAAAGGTAGTAGTAGAAATAATACCAATCGTTATATCTACTAATGGATTAATCCCAAAGATCCTACATGAAGGCATTCGATCACCTAAGCTTCCACCCGATTTGTATATGCAGAAGCAGAAGGCCGTAATATTGAATACATCCATACATTCCGAATATTGACCTGCACAAAAACTGAGATATTCAAAATAAAAAATAATAATAGTAATAATATGTGGAGTATGAGGTAGCTATGATACTTTATTCATTACAGCACGTTTTTGAGGGAAGAATTATGAAATTTATATCTTATGAGAAGTATGAGAACAATTTGAATATCTATTTTGAAAACTAGAAAACATTAATGATATCAACTTTTAAAAAAGGCAACACAGATTGGGCGTTGATGTTCACCTGTTTGATTTCTCTTTCAAGCGAAAAATGATAAATTAATTCTTCGCCATTTATATAACATATACAGGTGAGTTAATAAGCGCGTGGTGGTCCATATCTCCTAAACTAACGGAGATGGAAGAAAAAACTAAATACAAAACTTGTAGATAAACATGAGTACTACATTCCTAAATTCTCACCTAAATTATTTTCCGGCACCTATACAGGGTGGCCCAATAAGTAGTGATGACACCTCGGTTGACACAAAGTTATATTTTTTTAAATGACTCCACCTGTATATTATGACATTTCTGGATTCTGTGGAAAATTCTAGACATATTTTATGTTCTATCTTCAATATTGATAGTTTAAAAATGACTTTTTTGCATCTTTGACAGACTGTGAAACCTAAATGGTTCATTTTACAGCAAAACCGATTTTACATTCTTATCCTAGATTTTCATAAGCTATCATTTGACAGCAACTTTGAATTTAACCGGAAATTAATAATTTAAGCGAAATTTTTAAACATGGATTAAATTCAAAGTTGATGTCAAGTGATAGTTTATGAGAAACCAAAACAAGAATGTATGATCGGTTTTGCTGTAAAATTAACCGTTCAGGTTTTACAATCTGTCAAAGATTCAAAACAGTCAATTTTCAACTGTCAATATTTCCCAAAACGGTTGAAGATAGGTATATGACATTGGGTACATTCAGGCGGTCCCAGCGGCTAAGCTCAGTTACTCAGCAGGGACTCTATTCTCGGCACCACCAGAATGTACCCATAAACTCTTTTCACGTGGCTCCGGTTTAACAATCCGCAACATACCGCTCAAATTCGAGTGGTAGGTATCCATCACGTAACTTTGTAACCCGGTTAGAAAACGGTATGTCATTTCTCTAACCGTTTTGTAACCCGGTTAGTTAAACCGGAGCCACGTGAAAAGAACTATTGTACATGAATGTACAGGGTTATTGGTTATAAATGTCACCCCCCTCTATCTTTTTTATTTGACATTTTAGAAAAAAGTGTCCCAAATAAAAAAATTATGGTTGAAATTAAATTTTTTGAAAATATCACTTTTGCTTATACAGGGTGTTCCAAAAAAGCTGGTCGTGCTCCAACTTTCTTATTTTAAATTGAATACCCTATATATTATTCAATATTCGGACTCTACCTCAAATTCTAAGCAGATTTCATATGATATACCCTATACCTAAGTTCAACTGTTTTGGAAATATTGACAGTTGAAAACTTACTTTTTTGCAAATTTGACAGGCTGTAAAACCTAAACGGTTAACTTTTGAGCAAAACCGATCTACATTTGAAAATCTTAGATTCACAAGTTATCATTTGACATCAACTTTGAATTTAACCGAAGATTAAATTTAATTGGAATTTTCAATCATAGATTATATTCAAAGTTGATGTCAAATATTGCTGTCAACTAGTAGTTTATAAAAATCTAGGATAAAAATGTAACATCGGTTTTGCTCTAAAATTAACCGTTTAGGATTTACAGCCTGTCAAAGTTGCAAAAAAGTCAATTTTCAACTGTCAATATTTCCAAAACAGTTGAACTTAGGTATAGGGTATATCAAGAGGGTATATCACATGAAATCTGCTCAGAATTTTATGTGGAATCCGAATATCCAATAATATACAGGGTATTCTATTTGAAATAAGAAATTTGGAGCACAACCAGCTTTTCTGAAACACCCTGCATATGCGAAAGTGAGTTTTTCCAAAAATTTAATTTCAACCATAAAACTTTTATTTGAGACACTTTCTTCTGAAAAGTCAAATAAAAAAGATAGAGGGGGGTGACATTTATAACCAATAACCCTGTACAATGAATATACAAGGGGAGTCATTTTAAAAAACATAATTTTGTGTCCTTGCTTTGTGTCACCATTACTTATGGGGCCACCCTGTATACTGAAAAATAATTGAGGACTGTAGTATTCAGTTTATCTACAACTTTTGTATGTGGTTTTTTCTTCAATCTCCGTTAGTATAGGAGATATGGACCACAGCGCCCTTAGTAACTCACCCTGTATTTTGTAACTGACTGATTATTTAAAAATTTGACCAGACTCTAGAGCTTGCTTCCATTTGTTTGATTAAGTATATATTTTTTTCTTACACAAAGTTGAGTAATAATTATAATTAAATATAAAAAATTTAAAAAAAAAAAACTTCTAAAGTGCACATTAATGGAAATAATTAGTTAGCGAAAGTTTGAAGGGGAAATAAAGTGACCATTTCTTGTTGAACAACTAAGTGGACATTTCCGAAAGACAATATTTAATTATTATAATAGGGTAATTGCGCCAGAAGTCTCTTCTAGCCTGAGGTCATTGTTTTAGTTTATATTTAAATACTTATTAAATAAATAACATACCATAACCCTGGAAAAACTAAATACTATAAAGGAAATGTTCACTATGAACACACTCCTCCTAACCAAACCTTGTTCTTGTTAAAACACAAAACCAAATAAGGCAATCAGCAAAGAAGGATATTATATTGCACCTCCGTTGCTGAAAAATGACTTGTTACTAAATACTGACCCGAGTCTCTTGGCTGCTGAGACATAATACTAAAATTTCAATGTAACAATTTCAACACACACAACACAAGGCCAATGGACCAGACAAAATGCAACTCGAGTTAAGATTACTTTTCAGCCAGAAATTTCAGTAAGTGGTGGTGAGTAAGCCACCAGTGACTAATGACTAATGTTAATAACAATTTCAAATCTGTTTTAAGTTTTAACAAGATTAGCTTGGCAGATAAACGCAAATGGAAGAATACACACACACCTTAATTTGTTGTTAAAAAAGTAATGAGGATAAACAAATTGTTAAAAGGATTTGTAATGATATTATTGTGTACTTACTAGTTTGTGGATCGCTGGTTCGGTTTTTTAGTTAAATGAAATTATAAATATTTAAAAAATACAATACAAATATGGCATGAATTCAATTTAATTGAAATACAAAGCAAAAAGCAAAGGTACACTGCTGAGTACGCAGTACGAGTACCCTCCACTTCACTTCCACACACAATCACAATTAGGGAAGGACTAATCGATGTGCATATCGATACGAATTTGTCATATCGATCAGGATCTTTGAAAATTGAAAAGATTCGAAAAGTCACTCGTTAACGCAAATAAGAACAAGAACTACTGACAGTTCTTCACTTGACCTGAACATGCAAGAAGGAGTTTAGTTCTAATATACTTTAAAATCCACAGGCAGTCTTCTAAAATCACAAAATATCGTATCGATATTTTCTCCTATTAATAATATCGATATGACAAAGAAGTTTTTGCTTTTGGGATAGTTTTTCGAAAGAATATCGTATCGATAAAAAGTGTCAATGTCCCTTGTCAGTGTCACATGTCCTACAGGAAATAGGACAAATAGGTTATTTTTTGGAAATATTTTGCCTATCCAGTCAAATTTCCATAATTTCTTTTCTTATCCACTAAATTTTTAATAACTCAGCTTTCCATAATTACAATTTTTAATTATCCCCAAAAATGTCCCAGTAAAGAACCTGGCCAAAAGTGAAACCTAAACAAGTGAAATTTTCCCATTATTATTTATTTCCCCCCCAGCTGATTCAAGGACACCAAAGTGAAATTAGAAAAAAAGGTAAAAAGTTATTTATAATCTCTTGAAAAAATGTCTGTTTTCAATACCAATTATCAAAGGTGTTAAGAAAATAAAAATGCGTTTATTTTTAGCTCACTGAAAAGCAGCGTTGTCATTATACCAAAATAGAGCTCTCAGTGGTTTACTAGAGTTCCAAGGAACATGTCGCTTAAACCCAGGCAGGTGGACTTCGTTTCCACATGGGAAGCTATCCAGGAGACTATCAGGGGGGTGATCACTTTGGACCATGTCCCGAGGACCGTTTGGAATGATAGATTTTCGTGAGTACAATAATATTTTTGCCAATGTACGTATTTACTAGAGCCAAGGTTGTGAATTTTCTTTGTTCGTAAACAAAACATTTTGACCTGGTTTCATTTATTTTTTTCACAGAAAAATTACTTTGGATTTATTATTGTATAAAATATTTGTAGATCCGCAAAAAATGTGTTGTAGAATTATCCAACAAATTTTCAACTGTCTTTGAGTTCATTTTTTTAACTGCGTATTACAGAATTGTCATAAATTTGGATAATCACTCATGGAAATCACTGTACACTTTGCTGGGAATAGCTAGGAATACTTGGTAATACTCTGGGAATCCCTAGGAATACTTGGAAATCCTTGGGAATACTATGGAAGTATATGGGAATTCTCTGGAAGTACATGGGAATAATTTGGAAATAAATGGAAGTACCTGTAAATTTCTATAACTTCCAACCCCACCTTCAACGGTTTTTTTGGGGAATTTTCATTAAAATCTCAAGAATTGCGTGCATGTTTGTTCTTGTTCAGTCGTTCAGTGTTCCACTTCGTTCTGGTCGAGTGTTCCAATTTTTTTTGGCCAACTGTTCCAGTTACCCTAATTTTCAAGCAACTGAAACAGTGACATCTTCTTATGCATTCACATAGCAATAATTCTGAGGCGACTGGAACATATTGTAACGTATATGTAAAGATGCTAACACATTTTTTTTTTTTTGCTCACGAATTATGGGAAATATGGGTAGGGTTGGCAAATGACCGGTCAAATATTTTTCGTTCTATTGACCTAGTATTTGACCGGTCATTTGTCAAATTGCTCGAGTCAAATACTCGAGTAGTGAGGATCATGACTGTAGCTTTATTGCCATCATTTTTTCCGCCAGGTATGACATATAACAGGGACAGAGAGACACTAGAGAAGATACTTAAATATTTCTTTTAAAATTACTACCTGAAAGTTACATTTTTACTTAAATAGTGGTTCTGTTTTTCTTTCTATCAAAAAGTCACCATTTATGCAACATGTGTGTAAAGTGAACCTTTTTTCACGAATGTGAATTTTGACGCGCGAGATGCGTGTGAGAATCACATGAGTGAAAAAAGGTGCTTTACACACATATTGCAAATGAATTTTTCTCTACTATCCTGCGTAAAGTAGTCACTCTTAGCACTATTGCATGAAGCAATTCACTTAACACATTAGTGCCAGTAGTGCCTAAAGTACCTAATGTCAATGACAGATGTTGTCACTGTCAATTTAGTTTTTTTCTGGTAGATTACTTCACGCACTAGTGCATAGAGTGAAAATACTTCACGCACTAGTGCGTAAAGTATTTGTCTTAATTTTTTTTTTTTACACATATTTCATTGCTAGTAGGAAAAATAAGGTGTGATTTTGTCTTTCTGTCAAAGAAATAAGTTTTGTTTGTTTCATTTTCGATAGTAAAATTTAATTTTATTTTCTATGCGATAAACTGCAGGTAATTTTTGTTTACATTGGTCAAATTGATTTGGTCAAATATTCTAACTTTGATCAAATTGAGTGTCAATTGACAACTTTTGACTTGTCAATTGACCGAGGTGCCATCCCTAAATATGGGAGATGCAACAAAAGTATTACTTAGTGGTGAGAAAATAATGATTAATAAAAATGGTAAAATGAACAACAAATAAAATAAGAAACCTATTTTCTTTGTAAGTAATCCATATCTCTATTTCTGCATAGTATTCAGCACAGTTGACAGTTCTTCTTCTGCTTCATTCATATATTCCTCCACCACCTTATCCTGCTACCAACAATATGTATACCTTTCCCTCTTGTTCCAAATACAAAGAGTCTTATTATGGATCACAGTGTGCAGTCCTTTCCCATGAATGTTATAGGAGGTTTGTCCAAAACACTGAAAATTACCTTTCTACTAATTCGAAACGCAATTCGCCTGAGGTACCTACTCTACTCACTCTTGATGATAAAAGTGCTTTCATGGGTCCTGATGCCAACTTATTCGCAGGCTATTTTTCCTCAGTCTAATCTATCTGTAACCCTCAATGTAATCAAAATTTGTCATTAAATCATATAGGGCAAGTACACGATCTGACAGTTTGACACTATTGACAGTCGCCTTGAGGTAAAACAAAGATATAATTTGCAGTGTTTTTTAATTTTTTAGTTAGATTTTTTTTAAATAAATACCTTTTTTCTACTACAGTGCGTAAAGTACTCACTTTACGCACTATTCAGAAGATGTAAAATTCCACTTCACGCACTAGTGCGTAAAGTAACTCACTTCACACACTAGTGCGTAAAGTAATGTCAATGACAGATGTTGACAACTGTCAATTTAGTATTTTTCTGGTAAATTACTTCACACACTAGTACGTAAAGTTAAAATACTTCATGCAATACTTCACGCAAGTGCGTGAAGTATTTGTCTAAATCTATTTTTTGAACATATTTGATTGGTAGTAGAAAAAATTTTGTATGCAATACATGCGTAAAGCTCCTTTTTTCACTCATGTGATTGTCGCACTCGCCTTCGGCTCGTGCGTCAAAATTCACATTCGTGAAAAAAGGTTCACTTCACACACTTGTTGCATAAATAACTATTGTGTGCTCCAGAAGTTTCTTGGACATGCCTAGAGTTTGTTTAGTTGTTAGTTGTGGCAGTTGAGGTGGGAGTTTAGGGCAAGGGATACAATTTCCTTCCATGGGATTCCATCAATTTTAAATAACAATGGGAGGTTTAATTTGTTAGCTCAAGAAACAAGAAAAAAATTGAATAATGTTATTGAAAGAGAAGATCTGACAGAAAAATAGATTGAATATAGAGTAACTATACTTAAAATCTGTTTTTTCTTTAAAGATAATTCCCCAAGTCAAAAATTTAGTAACTATGTTGGCAACACAAGCCTTTTCTACATGAAAAATTTAATAGCATTGACAATTTTACATTGTATTGCCAACCTAATGTCAGTTTGACTTTTATCTTTTAAAAAAAAAAACGCACTTTATATATTTGTTCTTGTGACACTTGGTTTTGATATTTATTGGAAAAAACCTGAATTTAATTCATTATAGGAAAATCTAGTAAACTTTTAGATAAAAAACCACACAGACTCCAACACAAACACTCCGCTCTAACTTTTTTAAAACAAACTAACACCAAAACTTGTGAAAAAGCTGTGAAAACCGCATAAAACATAACCGGCCTAATCTACATGAATGTAAATAAATGATTTGTTTTACCTCAGGGCGACTGTCAAACTCATTTGTGACGTCACATGGACATGCCCTATTGGTCACAATTAGGTGCTAGCTGACGTCTTACACATAACCTCAATGACATGTTTGTCCCCCTAACGAAAGTCACGTTGTCGTTTGTGACAAGCTAGTGCCTATGTGTAAATGGACCGAAACGCTTTGTTTGTCCCCCCAACGGAAGTGAGGTTATGTATGTGACGTCAGCTAGTCCCTAATTACTAGATTTCCATGTGTGACACATACACTGAGCTTATTAACTGGAATCCTCATAAGAGTCCGGGTGCTAATAATATTCATCCTGTCTTTCTTAAAAACTGCCCCTTTATTCTCGCCAGGCCCCTACACATTATATTTAATAAATCTTCGGGAAGTGGATCTTTTCCCAAATAGAGCAGGCGCTACAAGTAGTTGAGTATGCAAAATGTGAGGACCGGCAAAAATGCTCAAATTCATATTCCTGTGATCCTAAAGAATGGGAAAGTACATGTTGCCGGCAGCTGGAGTGGTCCCTAACTCTCCTGCCATCCCCCAATGCAAAGTTATATGGAAAATATCACAATTTCAAGTCATTTCACAATAATTCCTATTGATTGTACCTAAGGCTTTCTTTCCAAGCACTCAAAATAAATTACCTACCACTTGTTGGATATTTTTGCAATTCTGCTCCAAAATATACACAAGTAAAAGAAAACTGCGAGATGTACAGAGTCATCCAACGGCGACTGAACAGGGGCTTATTTTTGACCTTCCCTGTTCCTGTAGTTTTGAAAAAATTCAAAATAGCCAATTGGCATATTTTTTTCTGGAGAATTCAAAAATAGTGATTTTTTTGTACCATTTTTGTATTCTCCAGAAAAAAAAATGGCTATTTTGAATTTTTTCAAAACTACAGGAACAGGGAAGGTCAAAAATAAGCCCATGTTCAGTCGTCGTTGGATGACCCTGTACATCTCGCAGTCTTCTTTTACTTGTGTATATGTTGGAGCAGAATTGCAAAGATATCCAACAAGTGGTAGGTAATTTATTTTGAGTGCTTGAGAAGAAAGCCTTAGGTCGTAGGGATCAATAGGAATTATTGTGAAATGACATGAAATTGTGATATTTTCAATATAACTTTGCATTGGCCATAATTTTCAATGGATCCTCTTGGGAAGAAGCTAGAATAAATGCAACAAATGGCCTTATAAAAATTAAAAGATGGCTTAATATACACAAATTATCCCTTAATGTTAAAAAAACAAATTATTTGGCTCTTACTAAAGTTGATTTGAATCGCCCTCTTTTTAACCAAATAGAAATAGACGTAAACGAGAAAATTGAAGAGGTCACTCACATTAAATACCTTGGGGTTATGATTGACTGTTACTTGAAGTGGAATGCTCATGCTGAATATCTGACTAAAAAAATTAGATCTCTGACTTATAGGTTCTATATTCTTAGAAATATTTTGTCATCAAACATGTTGGTCACACTGTATCGGAGTCTGGTGGAATCTTTGTTAGCATATGGTATCACGATCTGGGGTTCGATGTATGGAAATGCGCTGAGGCCGCTACAAATTGTTCATTGTTCAAATAGTAAATTTGAGAACTCTATTCTTCCACTCAGTTAGTTGTTACATTCATAAACACCGCAAGATGCAGCCTATTGTGTTACATAATCAAAACACCCGCTTTCGCATAAATCAGCTTTTGAGGATTCCGGAATGTAAAAGCGAATTTTATAGACGCTCAATTGGTTTCATGGGTCCAAAGGTTTACAACCTATTACCCAATGAGGTGAAGAATGTTGTAAAACCAAAACTGTTTTCAAAAAGATCGAAGGCATTCGTTTGGACAAATCGGATTTTGTTTGAAAAACTGCTTTGATTTGATGACAATAACGTACATACTTAAATTCTCAGCATTCGAAAAATTTGTATTCCTATGGAAATAACATATACAGGGTGTCCCAAAAAGATACCGACAAACTTTAAGGGGTAGTAGGGGACATCAAAACAAGCATTTTTGTTTATATAAACATATGTCCGCAAATGAGCCATTTGGGCTGTAGAGCAAAAAAATTGTTTGGTATCTAGTTTTATTCTTCGCAATAATTAAGTCACTGTTTATTTTTTAATTTTGCTTCAATAGCAAATAAATTATATTTTACAATAATTGTTCAACTCGCGAACTCTTTGGAATATTGCGGGAATAGCTTCTACATGGGTACAACTCGCCAGTATCTTTGCTATTAGATCTTCCTCATTACGAACAGGTGTTTCGTAGACTAAACTTTCACACAGTCAATGACCCGACGGTGTAATCTTTGCATTGAAGTAAATGGTCAACATTTTGAACAATTATTCTAAGACATAATTTATTTGATAATAAAGCAAAATTAATAAGTAAACAGTGATTTAATTATTGCGAAGAATAAAAGTGTCTAACAGTTTTTTTGCTCTACAGCCCAATTGGCTCATTTGCGGACATATGTTTATATAAACAAAAATGCTTGTTTTGATGTCCCCTACTACCCCTTAAAGTTTGTCGGTATCTTTTTGGGACACCCTGTATATATGAAGTAAGTTAGAAGCACATACAGATGCTCTGCATCTAGGTGCTGTTGTATATAAAACCATTTACCATTTAGATACCTAATATAATAAGTAGTATATTTGTATCGTAAATTTATTTATACCTTACCTTATGAATAAACTGTTATTATGAATAAACTGTTATTGGGGAATGACAGGAGAGTTAGGGACCACTCCAGCTGCCGGCAACATGTACTTTCCCATTCTTTAGGATCACAGGAATAGGGTTTTGAGCATTTTTGCCGGTCCTCACATTTTGCATACTCATTTCCGTCTAACTCTTGGTCTAAAATTCTGGAAAACAAGTTTTGTCGTCCTAATACATAAATCTGGAGAGTCCAACATAAAAAATTACCGGCCCATTTGCATCATCAATACCATGCCTAAAATTTTTTAAACCCTTATAACTATGTATCTAAGCTCAGTATTGGCTCCTGAAATCATTAACCAGCAGTTTGGCTTCTGTGTGGGTAGAAATACTGAACCTAATCTCCTTACCTATTATCAGTTTGTATCAGAGTTGGACCCGTCTGGTTTTTTTGGGCTTTTATGGGTTTTTTGTTTTTTTTTTTTTGGGTTTTTCCAGCTTCTCGGAGATTTTCGTTTTTTTCTTCAAATTTGACTTATAAATTCTGCTCTAGCAAAACTATTACAAAAATTATTACTTTCGTTGCAAAAATAAAATTTCTTCACAAAATAAAACAAGCCACTTCATATAAATAATTACACTTGGCATCATTGTACTGCACCATGCCTCTGGCTGGCCACTCCAGAGACTCCATGTCATGTAGAATTCTGAATTCTACATATCGACAGGATTCTATAGGCTCGGCACATTCAATATGTCGAATTCCACATAGAATATAATAGAACAGCAAACAGCCGAGAATTGAAGAATCACCAAGGAATCCCTGATATTTCCTGCGAAAAAGACGCTCATTCAACTGAAAATTTGCTATTTTTAAAAAAACCCAAAAAAACCCAATAATGGTGGGCTTTATCAATTGAAAAAACCCGGAAAACCCCACTGAGTTTTATGACCTGGGGAAATTCTATGCCAATCCTGGTTTGTATTGCAGGCCTGGGAGAGTGGATAAGGTTCCACAAACTTAAAACGGTGGGTATAAATGAACCCTTACTCTGCTGGCTGGACAGCTGCCTTGCAAATAGGATTCACATTGTGAAAATTACCAATATCTTGTCTAACGAAATTCCTGTGCCGTCTGGGGTCCCACATTGGACCACTTCTTTTTGATAACTTCATCGATGATGTTGCACCCTGCTTCCAGTCTTCGGAGTTCCTTCTGTTTGCAGATGATCTAAAAATGTATAGAGTAATATCCTATCTTAACGACCGCATTGCTTTGCAGGAGGATATCCACAGATTTGTGGCTGGGTGCCGTGATAATGGTATGCATGTTAATATCTCTAAGTGCAATCTCATGATATTTTCTTGTACAGTTAAAACTAATTTTCATTATCTTATTAATGGAACAACATTACCATCAGTTGTAAACATAAAGGATCTTGGAATTATTCTTGATGAAAACCTATCACTCAGAATGTTGGGATTTATTAAATGTAATACTTTTGACTTTGTTACTGTACATTCCATTAAAATTCTATATTGCAGTCTTGTTAGAAGTCTCTTGGATTATGCCACCTCTATATGGGACCTTCAGTATGCTTTCCATATCCACAGAATTGAGCGATTGCAGAAGAAATTTATGCATCATATTCATTTTAAATTCTATAGACACTGAATATAGCTACGAAGAAATGTGTCAAATGCTAAATATGTTATTTCAAGAAAGAAGAAGTAGGTATTCATGATCTACTTCTTCTTTTCAAAATTCTCAACTCCCTTGTTGCCTATCCCTATCTCACTTCCAGCATTGGTTTATATGTACCACCTTTTAATATGAGAAATATCCCAACCTTCTATCAACCATATCACCGCACCAACTATAGTCACATTCCTTTGTCTCCAGATCTGTGTCTCTTTCAAACCAACATCCGCTCCTTGATTTTTTCTGTCTACTTCAACCTTTTAGAGAGCACGTGTCACTGTTGGACTTTGGTTTTTTTTTGTCAAAGTGGCCTTTATTGTAGAAAAAAGTGATGTTGATTTTTGGTCATTGATCTAATTATGTAGAGTACCTCTACCTTTGAAGACAATATGAAGTACATTACATTTCTTAGTATTCAGTGAGTTGAGGAATTCACCACTCCAGTCCAAGTCTTAGATTGATATTTGTTTTATTTACTCTTCATATTACAAAGAAGAAGTAGAGTCATTTGTAAAATGTTTAAAGCAGATCATTGTTTTTAACTTGCTTTTTAAGACATAAAATACATACCAAAATCAACTCAAATTCCAAAAGTCGAAAATGAGAGAAAATTTAGGAGAGACATGAAAATCGTCCTGAATTCTGAAGCATATTATTCTGCATATGAATTTCTTGTGATTGGGTTTTTGATTTCTGCATTTTACTATTAACTTGGCCACTTGCTCATCTTTTAATACATGTGATTTGAATTAATTTTTTTGTTTGTTTGCTACAGGGTATTTATTGTTTTATTTTTGTTTTGGATTATTTTTATTTATATACAATTTTTAACCTAATATTGAAATCTAAACTCTGTTCAATCAACCTACAGACTAGAAAATCAACAAAAACTTCAAAATTTTCATTACAAAACTTAAAAATAAAAAGTATGGGTAACACCAGAATTTATAAGAAAAATTAAAACAATGAAAAAGAAGGAAGAGATAGCTTACCGGAGAAATTAGCATAACTGCAAGAAAAATGCGTTAATTGTCTGCACTATCTCAGAAAGTTTTTCTATAAAAGTGTATTTCTTTTGTCCCTGTTTACAAAGTATCGAATTATTTATAGAAAGGTAATCAAAGCTACAAAAGAACTTTACTTTAACAAACGAATTTCCAATTCTAATAACACCCAAAAGAAGGCACAGTCTATAATAAATAAATGAAATAAAATTTAAAAGTTCTCGCTGCAGGTATTTTCATCCAACCTGTCTCCTAACAATCTAAATATTTTCTTTTGCTCTATAGCTGGAGCGCTTTCGTCCCAGCTCAGCTCCGGGGTCAGTCCCTTAGACAATTTGACAGAGAAGAATGTCTCAAATTCCTTCTTCTTGGTACCAGTTGATGTTTCTGAGATCAAAGGAACCCGTATAACTTTTAAAAACCAAAAATCCTCGGGATGACATATCCATTAAACTATTACTCCATCTTATCAATAGGGGTTTTTGTACGCTCGGATATAAAATAAATTATTTCTTTGACTTGGTAGATTTCCAAATATTCTTAAGCATGCAGTGATTGTACCTCTTCACAAAGGGAGAAACTCAGACTCTCCAGCAAAGAAGGAGGCACAATTAACATTGAAAATAGGCCCCCGTAAATTTCCACCAAATTTCAATATTTTAAAGGTATCATAATTGCAAAAAAAAAATTGAAATGTAAAGAGGATCGTATGTTTGTAATAGCAGATATAGCTCATCAAAGTATGTAGGTCCTGCTATGCTAAAATATCCCTACGTAGATTTTCTTGAATATCTCGAAAAATACTACCTATACAAAATAGTACCCATACATTTTTTCTATGACATGCGCACAAAAATGCAAGTGTTTGTGAATAAATATATTTTCCACAACGCTCATTGATTAGCAAGAACTTGAAATTATACCAAAATTACAATAAATAACAATTTTTACATTCTAATGTTTGTCTTTTCCAGGGATGTATATTCGCTATGTGTGGCTCACCCAGAACCACTAGCTGACAGATTATACACAGAAACGCAGCAATACTTGGCCGACCATACAACTCAATTATTACAAAAAGTCCAAGCGGATGGCGAACATAATTTGGTTAAAAATTATTTTCATGTTTGGTCACAGGTAAACTACACAGTTTTGAAAAACATCTTTTTGGGATTTTGAGACCTCCTCTTAGGTTTCAACTAAATTAAAAGTCTTGTAACAGAGTTGTAAATTTGGAGTTTTATAGCAAGGTTTAAGGAAATAACAAAACTTCTTGATGCTTAGTTTTTCATTTAAAATAATGCCATAATCAATAAAATTACCACACATTTGAAATATTCACATTCTAATCAGTATTATTTGTTTTTCAGTATTCGGTTGGTAGCCAATACCTCCACAGCTTATACCTATATTTAAACCAGCAACACATACGATCACAAAAAATGTCCGATGCCGAAATTATTTATGGCAGCGCGGATCCATCTACCACTAACCAAGGTACTAGTAGGCATTCGAGTTTATGTTTCCCTGAAAAAAATATTATGATTTATTTTTGTAGGTGAACAAATGGAAATAGGAGAACTAGCCTTACACGTGTGGACTGCAAACATGATTTGGCCTTTGGGTAGTAGACTTGTAAAGCTATTACTTGAGGCTATAGAGTTGGATAGGGCCGGGCAGCCTCCTACAATACCTTTGGAAGCTGTAAGGGGAACTATTTTGAGTTTTGTTGAGGTAATAAGGATTTTTTGTGTAGTAAGGTTATTATCATTTAACTAATAGAAGCAAAATAAATTAAGTACCTAACATTAAAATGTCGTCTCTTGTGTAGTTCACCTAAGAGAGAATTTAGCAATTTTAGGCATAAAATCCATTTTATAGGTTCAAGCTTACAAGAAGAAAGCTCACCTTCATCTGTACATTGAGCTATTTGAAGATCCATTTTTAAATGACAGCGGAGAACATTTCAAAAGGGATGCTGCGTTGCTGCTTCAAGAGAAAGATGTTAGTATGTATATGGAAAGAGTAAAAGCTAAAATTGAGGAAGAATTATTTAGAGCTCGAAGATTTCTACATGCCAGTTCTCTTCCTAAAGTAACTTTGGGCATTTAATATTAGCAACTTTTTTTAATTAGTTTATTGTTTTAGGTTGCGCATAGGTGTGAATTGCATATGGTGGCAGACCATTTGCAATTTTTATACAGTGAATGTCAGAACATGGTCAAATATGAAAAGAAAAAAGACCTTTCAAATATGTATCACTTGCTCAAAAGCGTTCCAAATGCTTTAGTTGTTTTGGTAGATACAGTCTTTGATCATATTAAAAATCAAGGCTTGTCGGCGATTCATAATCTCCAAGGCGAATCCATTCACATAAATTTTGTAGAAAATTTGCTTACAGTGTATAAAAAATATAAAGAACTTATCAAAGAAGTTTTCAAGTCTGATCAAAATTTTATGGGGGCTTTGGACAAGGCTTGCAATTCGGTCATTAATCACAGGTAAATAATACAAGTATTGCAAAATAAATTCATACAAGTGATTTTTATAGGCCTAACGATGGTAGATCGCCTTGTAGAAGTCCGGAATTGCTAGCGAAATATTGTGATACGTTACTAAAGAAAAGCAGCAAAGGTATTTCTGAGGCGGAAGTCGATGAAAAATTGTCTGAAAGTATAATAATATTTAAATACATAGACGACAAAGACGTGTTTCAGAAATTTTATTCAAGATCGTTGGCAAAAAGGTTGATACATCAGCAGACCCAAAGTATGGATGCTGAAGAATCTATGATTGATAGATTGAAACAGGTATTATAAAATCTCTATTTTTTTTTTTAAATCTTAAATGTTTAGGTTATATATTAATATTTTAGGCTTGCGGCTATGAATTTACCAGCAAACTTCACAGAATGTTCACTGACATGTCGGTTTCTACTGACCTCAACAACAAATTCCAAGCTTTCATCAAACAAGAAGACATCGATTTAGGCATCAATTTTGGAATTTACGTTCTCCAGGCTGGAGCGTGGCCTTTAGGCCAGGCCGTTGTCACACCTTTTGCTTTACCACAACAATTAGAACGAAGTGTACAAATGGTAAGAATTTTCTTGAAGAATATAGAATGATAATGAATATTGTTTTTTAGTTTGAAACGTTTTATCACAACCGATTCAATGGTAGAAAGTTAACATGGTTACACCATTTATGTCAAGCTGAATTAAAACTGAGCTATCTAAGAAAACCTTATGTAGTTACAGTGCAGACATTTCAAATGGCAATATTATTACTTTTCGAGAAGACTGACGCTCTGACTTGTAAGGAAATCAGAGAAACTCTACAATTAAATACAGACCAGTTTAAAAGACATGCTGTCAGTTTAGTCGATTCAAAATTACTTCTATCAGATACTGAGGTGAGAATTGTCTTTAGGAAAAAATAAAAATGTTAAACCAATTTGTCTAATAGGAAATTGATGAGACTGAAACTACCCTGAGGCTAAACATGGACTACTCGAATAAGAGAACAAAATTCAGGATAACGGCTGCTATCCAGAAAGAAACACCTCATGAAGTGGAACAAACAATGAACTCTGTGGAAGAAGATAGAAAAATGTACCTGCAAGCTGCCATTGTTAGAATTATGAAGTCCAGGAAGGTGCTCAAGCATAATTTACTTATACAAGAGGTAAGAAATAGTTTTTTTTTTGGGGTAAAATTATTTTAAAATAATCACTCGTATGTACATTCTGGAGAGCTGCCATACATGCAGGCGTAAATTTGTGCTATAAAAAAAAAATAATAGAAAAACTGATAAACTGCATGAGGCAAAATTTGTGGAATTTTTGAAAATCGGATAAGAAAGAATGCACGAAAAAGTCAGAAATCTAAAAGTAGAATAGAAGAGAAAGAGACAAAATGTAGAAATTCTTGTACTTTGCATGTTCGGAGTGCGATTGTTTCTTGTGGCCTCTTTCATGAAAATTTCTAGTAATTCCTTTGCCTCACTTAAGGGCATTTTTTAACCCAATTAAGTCTTAACCTTAACCATTATAATGTTAAATATTCACTCTAAGAATAAATTATCGAGTGTGCAAGTGTCTCAAAAGCAAGAAACTGATACTAATATAGTATGTATTTAAATTCTTTTTTTTTTTCTATAGGTGTACGCACAATCGAAAGTATCTTTTGCACCAAGTGTTCAACTCATCAAAAAGTGCATTGAATCTCTAATTGATAAACAGTACATCGAAAGAACTCCGCATTCTAGTGAAGAATACAGCTATGTAGCTTAATTTAACAAATTACTATTATAGGTGTTTTAATTAAAACATTTCACAATTCAGATTGGGGTTTTGTTACATTTTTGGTTAGAAAGATTACCGAAAATACTCGACAGTGAACTTAGTTTAGGCTGGAAGGCAACGACAGAAGGGTTTGAACAATTTCATTCCCTTTCTCCTAGTAAAGTAGCTTTATTATTTAGGTATCCTAGGATATGAGTAATGGATGTCTGGCAGGCTACAAACAGTCTATTACTTGACAACCCCTACTGGGAAAAAGAAAATGAGATTGGTCAAACCCTTATGTCACCAATTACTAGGCTATTTGCAGCGAAAATTTTAATTTTTTTTGGTACACCAGGAAATCATTTTCTAGTATAACAGAGAAATTAAGTTAACCCTACTTAACTGTTAAAGAAAAAAATTATTGGATCTTAAACTTGTATATTAACAATTGTAAATATTTCCTAGCAGCATATACCACATAAGTCTAATAAATTGTTTTCTCGTTAATATGTAAAAGGGGGATCATTGTAATTTTATATTTATTTTAATTTTTGGATATAGGAATTATTGTTCTTTAAGATCTCGTTTTTACATATCGAGCAGGTCTTGAATTTAGCAAAAAGATGCATCATTGTATTTTATTATTTAATATAAATAATTTCTTTTCCACAAACTTATTGCGTTTTAATATTCCGTTGTTGTAAATAAGTATTTGGGGGGTGTTTTTTTTATATATTGACACTCCACCTACAGCCTTTACCTTTACAGGTAGAAGAAAGGTGTGAATACAAACGTTGTACAGTTTTGGCTAAATTTTTAGAGTCCATGGTCGGAAACAAAAATTGAATGCCAGAAATGTGAAATTTTGCATGCTCTCAGCATTTTTCAAATGGGATGCCCTATATTTTGTTCTATATTCTTGAAGGGCACAATGCCCCGATTCCAAAAATATATACAGGGTGTTAATAAATAGTGGGATCAAACTTCTAGGATAAATAGTACTCATTAAAATAAGAAAAAAGTTAATAGAAACATGGGTCCGCAATTGCTTAGTTTTCAAGATACAGGGTGTCAAAGTTTGAAAAAAAATCCGTTTTTTTAGCTCAAAAATCCCTTTTCCAATTTTCTTTTTCAAATTTGGCAGGTTTGTTTGTGATAACAAAAGGTATCTTTCGAGTTTTGACTGCAATATGACCTAATGTGCGAAAATATCAGAGTTATAAAAAAAGTGACATGACATTTTTTTCTACTTTTACTAACGAGTTGTCCTCTGGGGCGCTACTGGAATAATAACAGTCAATCTAATTGAATCAAAAGATACCTTTTGTTATCATTACAAACAAATCTGCCAAGTTCAAAGAAATTCGGGAAACGGACTTTAAAAAACTAATTTTTTCAAACTTTGACACCCTGTATCTCGAAAACGAATCATTTGCGGACCTATGTTTCTGTCAACTTTTTTCTTATTTTAATGAGTACTATTTATCCTAGAAGTTTGATCCCACTATTTATTAACACCCTGTATATTGTCTATATTTGATTGAGTAGTCTCTTATATATTCGGCTCTAAAAATTGTAAAAATACTATCATACTATAGTCTGGCAAGTGGTAAGTTGATAGAAACGAAAGGGGGAAGAAAAGTGGGGCGTAACCTAAGAATATTCACCGACACCGCTTGATGACAGCAATGTCTTTGGGTTCAGTGGCACTGAAAACACCATGGAAATGAACCAATAAAATTATTAGAATTTTTTTTGTAAGTTTCGCCAATAACCACGCCACTGTGTTGTCGTTCAGGCTCTAACCTTAGCCGCTAACCAATAGAATCATGCCTCTGAATAATCCCGCCTCTCCACATCCATCAATTCGCAATGTTGCCGGATTTTTTTCTATTTCAAAATACCACACATGCCCATATAGCAAAAAAAAATATGTCACCAACTTGTTTATTACTGTTTCCGTCAAGTTTGGCAAAGCAGCAAATTCTATTGCAGTTCGCCGTTTGGCTAGCCAGACAATCAGGCCTATGATGTATCCTGTCCTGTTACTTTAACGGCTGTGTTAAGGCTCAACATCTATTTGTGTCTCAATTTTGATGTATAGAATAAACAGTGACAGATAACTTAACGTTGCTGTTAAAATAACAGAAAATGATACATCATAGGCCTGAATACTGATCCTGTGAACCATTCTACCTGTGCAGGTGAAAGCTGCAGGTAAAATTTGAGGTAAGCTTTGTTTCACGAGGGTTCATACTTTTTGCCTTCCTTTTTTAATTAATGGAAAATGACTGAAACAAATCAATGAGTTAAGCTGTGTCAATGACGTCAAAAACGTTCGTCGGCTCTTGAACCAGAAGTCATTCATTTTAATTTGTCAAAAAAATTGGATATGTGTCATATGAAATAATCTACGACAACCATTTTTTTTCAAGTTATGACGTGTTCAATACCAAAAGTATGAACCCTGGTGAAACGATTTGTACTGGGTTTGTCTGATAACACCCTGTACATAGTAGCCGTGTAAACTTTATCTCGCAGTTGGTCCGCTACCCAACTTAGATTGTTCGGATTTAAAGGGAATAAATCTCTCGAAATTAACGATATAACTGGATATAACTATTCCCACGACAAAATAATTGACACACACCTATATATTTTTTTAATTCAAAAGCTCTATGGAACAGAAATAGTGACTGACTGTCTAATCTGACTAATGACTGACCGGTAGCCAACTTATTACTATAAAAAAAAAGACTTAAAAATATGCTAAAATCTAACTAATACTCAACAAGCACTGGGAAAAGAAAACAATATAAAATACATTATAAAACAGTTTTATTTATATATTGACTTATTTATTATTATCAAACTATTCTTGCAAAATAAACTATAACTAATAAGCATCAATTACTTGTAAAAATTTATATTTAAAAAAAAAAAACTAAATTGAATTCAAATCCTGATAACTCAAATATTTTTACGAAAGATATAAAAGAGATGTGGTAAATTTCATCATTGAAACGCAAGCAAAGTGCACCACTGTCCACAATAATGGTAACTATTTGAATAAGCACAAAAAATTAACATTTTTTTTTCACATCAAATTATAATAAACATCAAAATCGTGATAATGTTTTTGAGCAAACAAAAAAACTAGCAAGCTAAAGTTCCCATAGGATCCCATGCAGGCAAAACAATGGGTTCTTGATTGAAGACTTCCAAAACTTCTTTGGAGATGTGTTTCTTGTCGACAACTACCTCAAAAGTAAATTCTTTAAACCATTCTGCTGTCATTAGAAGGTAACCCTTGTCTCCACGTTCTTCACCCCAAGAGTTTTCAACACGAAGACGATCTACTTGATCTTTTTCCTAGGAGAGATAAAAATGTAAACCCAAAAACTATCGACATTTCAAACTTACGTCAACATGTACAGCAGTAAATACCATAGCATGGGTCATGGCACTTTCTCCATAAAGCAAACGGTCGCCTTTGCTCATGGAAGTTTGAATATCGACACCCAAAAGTAATGGGAAGTTGTGACTGAAATGGTAATTTAGAGTTAAAAACTAAAAAGTAAGTTTCACTGACAAATTATTATTTAAAATACTAAGTTTCTTGAGAAAAACTTACACTTTCAAGTCAAGAATTCCAGCCTTTGCGTAATTCCTCTTGCCAACTTCGCATCCGAACCAAACAGCTTCGCCATCCTTAATACTCTTAGCTGTCACGTCCAGCAAGAGCTCGACCGGTTGATTGTTGTAGATGCATCTTCTTCCGCCGACTACGTTGCCTAGACAATCTACTGTATAAACTTTGCCGTATTCGTTGGTGGCTCTTGGATCAGTTACTAAACAAACCTACAGAAAAATAAGTATATTAGAAAATTTTGGAAATTGTTGACAGCTGATGAGAAGCTAACTTTGGATAGAAACATTCTAATACCTTGTCGTCTATATTGTATAACGGTTTGATGTGCACATCGTAGAATTCTTTTGGAGTAATGGGACCAACACTGTGGAAAGCCTTGTTTTTGTCGTAGTAGTTCCAGGTGAAAGATTCACTTGGGATGCCTAAACAGATTCCTACGATTCTATACACGTGGGTCATTTGCTCCTCGATCAGGCTTTGAACATCGCCATCGCTGCCCCCTTTTTGGATCAGTTCCCTGATAGCTCTGGCGAATTCTCTGAGCTGAAATAGAAATTTGGATCTTGTTTATTTATTTGCAGGGAAATTTTTTGATAGAAAGTAGGTCTCTGCTAAGATAGATTAAGATTTATTTTCATAGGTCACATTAATTTTTGTTGTTTTTGTTCATTTGCTAGGCTGGGATAGAACGTCTTTCTTCGTTGTCCGACAACTAATTTCTATCGTCGCAATCCTCTGATGAGAGATTTCTTTCACTCATGGACTTTTGTATTATCTTCTGCCATTCCAGTTTTGGTCTTCCTCGTTTTCTTCTACCTGTTGATTGCTAATGCAGTATTTTTCTGGACCATCTAACATTTGGCATTCGTTCTACGTGTCCATACCAGGAAAGTTGTTTCCTTTCAATGTCCTGGGGTGCGATTTTCGAAACCATTCGAGAACATTTCGTATACAAAATTTGACTGACAGCAATGTAAATTAAATGGGGGGCATTCGAAATAGTATCAAATTTCGTATGCGAGAATATTCGAAAATACGACCCCTGAACTATCGTGCCTTCTATTCCCATTTGTTGTTTTATATTGCCGTTCAGAAAAAGTATACAGTTGTGACGAGAATCAAAATACCTTTAAAACAAGGTACCACTCGACCCATCTTCCGTATCTAAAAAAGAGGGGTGGAACTCACCCCACCCAGGGGGTGCACCATAGCGAAATACTGATGGGATCAAAAAGTTTTCCCTTGTATACAAAATTGACGTATCCGAGCGTTTAAATACCCTAAAATGCCTCTGTTTCGATGTTCGTGGAACACTCTGTATTATACAATTTGTCAGGTTCCAAATTCAATCAAAATCTTCTTAAAAGTCCAAAAATATAACTTTTATATTCAATTTCAAGCTCCTTTCAGGAAATATATTCCTGAAAACCTCTAACCCAAATTGTAAACCAATACAGCTTTAACAAGAGGAATGTGTTTGACTCGTTCACATATTTTTATTATCTAAAACATGCTCGAAGTAACAACAACAAAACAATTTAATTAATAACACATATTGGTATTGTGACCATGAAAATCTGCGACAGGGTCATCAATAGAATGCAGATTGTGCACTTTTATACATGCCAGCCTACCATTTACCACATTCTTTTATTGCGGTTCTCTTGTGTAATTAGATACAAAATATGAAGCAGAATATTTTTCATTTAATATCAAGATGCCTACATAAACTTTCTATTAAAATCGCTTTATATTATAACAAAGGGTTTGTTTTGCAATTTATTTTTAGAATTATCGCATTTCTGCTGAGTAAATACCTCGGTAAATACAAACCTTTGATTCACTTTTTTTTTATATCTTATCAGCTATTTGCATTGTTTGAAAATGAGTACAGAATTAAATAATTTTTTTCCTAGAAAACATTGCAAAATAATAAATTTTCCTTACCTTGCTCTTCAATATTTGGTTCATCCTGTCGCTCATTTCGCAACTGAAAGATTCCGGGAAATTCTTTTTGGGCATCAGACCATATTTGTTGATTAAGTTGACTATCATGTCCCATTGGCCACCGTCACAAGTAGGATCCTGAAACAAATCGCTTTGATAATGATTTTAAATTCATTTTTGGTCTGGATTCTTACATATAACAAAAACGACGTTAATCTGCCATCAACAGGCTCATTTCTCCTGGCAGTTTCGACTATGTTATTCAAAAAGAAGTTGCATCGTTCGATTTTGTCCCAGAAGAATAAATATCCTTGGGAGAGTTCAAAGTCTTCCAGGTTGAAGTGTTTGATGATGGGAAGGCGAATTACGTTTAGTGCTGCAAATAACCAGCAACGTCCTGATCTTTTCTGGTTGGTTAAGGGTTTACCTTCGGCGTCAATCTATAGACAAAAATAAAAATTATGTTACCTCATAATTGTGTATGCATGATATGATGTAAATCCGGTTTGAGTTTTGTTTGGGAGAATGGAGAATAATAATAATAATATATTCCAGTAAAAATTACCAACGTCACATAAACTGACCAGAAGTTAAGTTTATGCCTAAGCACCTGTAATTTTACCCAGATCCTCAAAATTTCAATTATATTGGATGACGCGTTCCGAAGTTATAACCTGGGAGAAATGTCGTGGGACACCCTGGATATAAATAAATAAAATGAAAAAAGTGCATTTTTGCAATAATGTTTTGTTCTAGACATGGAGATATCTCTATGAGACAAAGAAATAACTATTTGTATCAAATCTAAATTAAAAAGGAAACTTATTGAGACAGAAAACAATTTCATCGATAAGGCTGATAAATTCTGAATCCTTATGAAAAAATATACAATCAGGATACCACCACAACGTTGGTTAATTGTTATACTGATAGTTTTTCTGGAATAATAAAGTAGGTATGTACGAAGTATAGGAGTACATAGATAAATAAAATGGAAAAAGCGCATCTTTGCAATAGTTTTTGTTTTGTGTTTGGACATGGAGAATTTCATTGATGAAGCTGATAAATTCTTAATCTTGAAGGTCGTTTTCCTTATATTAAGTGTCAACTTTAAAACCCTGCGCATTTCTTATTCCCTTTTTGATTAACGTTATTTCTTTTTGTTGTATTTTGTTGCACAATTTTGAAATAAAGATGATTATTAATAAACCTACCTGTTTTGCTACTGTTGGACATTTGTTAACTTACTTTCTATTTGAAATTTTAAAATGGATCACAATTCACAGAGCAAGTTACTCAGAGCTTTCCTGGATTTCTGGCGAGACTGAAGGAGAATAATGCTAGTTATTTTAAAAATGTTCCAATTGTAGACATGTTTGCTTGTTCTGGAGAAATTAATAAAAATATATGTAATTTAATTTGGAATCTGACTTCAATTTCAGTAAACACATGCTAAAACTCATATACACTGACCAGAAAAATTAACACACCACTAGCTTATTTCTATTTTAATGAGGTTTGAATTGAAAATATATGGATTGGCTAGCAAACAGTTCTGATCCTAATCCAATTGAGGATGTCTGGGACATGATCTAACACCGTTTTCAAGAACTTCCTAACCCTCCTAACACTTTGAAAGGGCTTTGGAGATATTGTCCAAACATGGAATAATTTGGATTAAAACGAGATAAAGCCCGTAATTATAATATGGATAATCGCTGCCGTGCTATTATTCAAAATAGAGGAGGAAATACCTGTTATTAATTATTTTTAACTAAAGTTTTAAAAAAATTATTTTTGAATTTTCTTATTTTTTTTTCTAACCTTCCTTTGGAATTTTATCTTTTGTTAATACCCTTATTAAGTTAGAATAAGAACATACTTAATTAAGACATAAAAATATTTGACCAATACATATTATGAAATAAAAAATATTTTTCAAAATATAGTAGTGGTGCGTTAATTTTGCTGGTCAGTGTAGTTAGTTTTTCTTAGCAGTTGGCTCGTCAGTTGGTCAATAGGTAGGTGTGAGGGTAGGTGAATATGCTAAATGGTTTGTACCTTGATTTGTACAAAACAGGTTGTAACACCTAGTTTTTTTTGTTGCAGAAGCGCCTGTAGATATATTGTCTATGTGTTCTGCATACACTATTTTTTAACAGTTAACTAGGAACATTAGCCTATAGTCAATATATTTCATAGTCTCTGTGAAAAGTTTTTGTATCTTTTCCTTCTTCATCTTGAGACAAGGAAGACATTAAGCTATTAAAAATTGAATTCAACTTTCCAGAAATATTCAGAAGCTTAGTTTATGTTCCTACCTACCAAGGATAGTATAGCAATGAAATTCAAATGAAGAGCTATAGGTACAGGGTCTTTCCCCATATAGTGACTCCCCCCCTACAGGGTTTTTTTTTTTTTTTAGAAATGTCAAAATTTGACAGGTGGTCAGTTTTTTCTTATGGAACACCCTATATATGACTTTATAGTTGAAAAGAGTCAATTTTTCTGATTACAAATATATGGTTTAATTACTTTTAAGTGAGCCATTTTGGAAATATCTAAACTTCAAGAAAATAATACCATGAAACACATCAGCTATGTTCCAACCGACATGAGAACTGTTCTAAACTTTATTTTTTCCTAAGATAGATTTTGACATTGAAAACTTTGAAACATAAACAATAACGCTTGACCCTGATTGGTCGCAAAATGAGGTGTTTCTGCAGGTTGACATCAGTTTTACAGGCGACCAATAAGCGGCATTAGCGGCATTGTTTATGTTTCAAAGTTGACAATGCCAAAATCTATCTTGGAAGAAAATAAACCATAGAACGTTAAGTTCCAGTTGATCAATGGCAGCAAATATCCAGTTAAGTTCCATAAAATTTTGTAGAGGGCGCGAGTGAACTTGGAGTGCTTTGAATTTTGGCGGTAAATGTCAATAGCTTTAAAACGTTTTAATAAGTGGAAGGAAAGATGACTACATATGAACAATGAACAGTACATGAATTAAAATATCTTCCAAAACGTTGAAACTACACATCAAACTTAACTTTTGGGGCGCGTTCGAAATCACCCTGGGCGTCACACCGAGTGCACATCAGCTATGAATTATTCATGAATGGTGTGCACTCGGTGTGGCGCCCAGGCTGATTTCGAACGCACTCCTGAGGTTAAAATTATATTCAATTATTCACGCGCCAAAATTTGAAAAGCTCCAAGTACAGAAGCGCCCTCTTCAACTCAACTGTCAATATTACATGCCATTCATTTGCAATTAGGATAAACCGAAAAACATTCAACTTATTGAAAAACAGGTGGGCAACTGGAAATTACTGTTCTAAAACGGTTCTCATGTCGGTTGGAACAGAGTTGATGGGGTCTGGTAAAGTTCAAGGCCCCACGGATTTCGTATTTTTTTTTTTAGTAGGAAGCCTTATTGCTATAGAACAGTTTAAAAGAAAAAAATTGTTGGATGAAGCACTTCCGAAATTAGAAAACGCATGCAAAAGATTTAAAAGACACGCCATTTTCAAAAACATTGGAGTGATAAAATAAAACACCCCTAAATTAACACATTGCTAACAGTGTTGCCAAGTTGCTTAAAAACTTATAGTTTTTTGAACAAAAAGAAAAATAAGTGTTTATAATTCTTTAATGGAACGGCTTAAAATATAATTTATTCCAGAAACAGTGAAAGAAACAAAAAAAATCACTAAAACGTATTAATTAAAATTTCCTGAGGAAATAAGCTGTTTCCATTTTCCGGAAAAATGTACGATGTTAATATTGAATTAAGAAAAACAAGCAGTGTTGCCGTTGACTGGGTAATTCCCCAAAAACCGGGTATTTTCGACTAGTGTTCGGGTAAAATATTGATGTGGGTAAAACCAAGGGATCCGGAATTACAGCCCTATTCTTTTTTTTTTATTTTCAACAATTTCAACTAATATATACCACATTGAAATTGAAAGCGCAACTGGTTTTATTTTACATGATTTTAGAAAGAAAAAAAAAACGAATACATTCAGTTCACACTGACAAATGGAAATCACTAGAATGCTTATCAGCGCATTGATATTGACGTTTTCGTACCGTCAGGTGCGTCACCCGTCACGGCCGTTACCCACCCCCACCCGTGTATTGTTTATTGTAAAATAATGTTTATATAGTATGTATAATATTCAAGCACCATCAATGGGCAAGTTTTTAAAATCATCAATGTCTTGTGCGCATTTTCACCCATGTATTGCTGTCCTTGTCATTTGACAGCAGCAAAACAAGAATAGGTTACCCATCGGGAGAAATGCGCAGAAGCAGTTGATAAATTTAAAAACTTGCCCAATTTATATCAAAATTGTAATTTTTGACATAAATTTAAAATTTGTTGAATTTAAAAACTTGCGACACATTGTGCTTTCTCTTGATGAGTAAATTACCTATCCTTGTTTTGCTGCTGTCAAATGACAAGGACAGCATTACATCGGTGAAAATGCGAATATGTCTATAATAGGGCAATCCAAACAAAATGGTGGTCAATGCATGGCCAATGCCAAAAAATTGGCGCCATAAATTTAATTCAAGCAATCGTGACATTTTTCATCAAAAAACTGTTTTTTGTGTATTTTGTGGTGCTTTTAGATGATTTTCTAGTGTTTGAGAGGATAATTTTCGTATTATAAGATGGAAATTTTTTAGTTTAAGAAATTATTAGTAGAAAAAAGGCATTGGCCTCCATTTTGAATTCCATTTTCACAAGTCGTTGGATTGCCCTATTTTCAAAAACGTGCCCCGTGCCCTAACCTAGCTTAATGATTTGGGGATTTTGTTGTATAACAACCACTTATAACCAGTATTGAATGAACTATAATGGAACTAACTAGAAATATGCAACCTAGCCCAAACTAACCCGTTCACGTAATGCGTACTAGTCCTTGTATGTTAATATTGAATTTAGAAGAGTGCGCTTCGCATTTGTGGAATAAGTTGGTGATTTTTTGAGGAAAATCTGTGTAATCCAACAATTTTTTTGTTTTAATCTGTTCTATTTGATGTAAGCTTTTAAACAAATCAAATAAGAACGCAAAATTCTTGGGGTCGTGAAGTTTACTAGAGCCGAGTTGATGTGTTAAAACTTTTATCTTTGGTGAACAAAAAAGTGATACGCCCCAGGGTATCTCAAATCTTTTCTGTAAACACTTCTCATCAGTATACACCTCCTATGACCACAAGGAGATGAATATATCTAGCGACCTCTCTGTCAATCTGGGTGATATCATTATAGAACCCATAGATGTTTACAACAGAATTTATCAACTCAAGAATGTAGGATGCGGTCCAGATGGTATTCCTGTGTGTCTTCTCAAGAACTGCATTTGTTTTTTTTCTTTTGTTTTGTCTCAAATATTTAATAAATCACTATCAACTGGAACCTTCCCTGATGTTTGGAAATTGAGTTATGTAACTCCAATTTTCAAGAGTGGGGACAATTGTGATGTTAAGAATTACCGCCCTATCTCCAAAATCTCTATTTTTTCAAAGATTTTCGAAGCTATCATAACTGACAAAATTACACCTTTATTTAAGCATTTAATTACACCAGAACAACATGGCTTTATGAAGGGCAAGTCAACCACTTCAAATTTGTTGGAGTTTGAGCAGGTCCTGTTTGATGCCTTGGAGGGGTGGTATCAGGTGGATGTCATTTATACCGATTTCTCCAGGGCGTTCGACAGGGTTGATCATAGTGTCCTCTCTAGGAAATTATTAGCCATGGGTTTTCATGGTAAATTTTTTGAATGGCTTATTAACTATCTTTCTTATAGGAAACAAAAAGTTAAAATCGAAAACTATCTGTCTGATTTTATTGAGGTTACGTCGGGAGTACCTCAGGGCGGACATTTGTCTCCTCTCTTGTTCAACTTATTTTTAAATGATGTCAAGCAAAACTTTGTAAATTGTAAATTTTTAAACTTTGCAGATGACAAGAAAATTTTTATTGTAGTTGGAAGTTTGCAGGATTGTGTTGCGCTGCAAAACGAGCTAAATGGGTTTTTTGAGTGGTGCGAATTGAATAATCTTTCTCTTAATATCGATAAGTGTAAAGTAATGTCCTTTGGGCGTCTAAGGAATCCTTTCATTTTCAATTATTCTATCAACAATGTTGAACTGGAGAGAGTTTATGTTATTAGAGACCTGGGGGTTTATTTGGATATGGAATTAAACTTTCATGAGCATATAGATAGGATTTCTAATAAAGCAATGAGGCTACTGGGATTTGTTTTTCGCAATTTGAAAGATTTCAATAATATTTTTACTTTGAGGAATGCATATTCTGCAATTGTTAGGAAAGTGCTAGAATACTCCAGTCCAGTTTGGTCTCCTTTTTATGTAAGTGTATGTCATTTACCCTTAATAAAAACTCTTATCAGTATGATTACACTTACAATAATACTAAAATTGAAAGAGTTGACAAACAAAAAGATTTAGGTCTGATCTTTGACGTGAATCTCACTTTCACTGATCACATTCTTGCAAAAATTGAAAGTGCTCAGACGGTAGCAGGATTTATTACAAGAAACACTAGAGACTTTGGCATAGACATAAGTTTACATCTTTTTGACAGCTTAGTTTTGCCTATATTGGAATATGGTTCTGTAATTTGGTCCCCTCAATATGATGTGTGGATTACGATTATTGAGGGGGTGCAAAGGAAATTTCTAAAGTCTCTTTATTTTAGAAAATATGGATTCTACCCACAAAGAGGTTGTAGTAATGAATATTTGTTGGGTGTCTTTGGAAGAGTGTCATTGGAGAAAAGGAGATTTAAAATAATTCTTTGCACAATGTTTAGGTTGCTGAAGGGTGAAATTGATGGTCCTGATATTCTTGGCCAGTTGCCATTTGCGATAAATAGAATTAATTCTCGGAATTCAAACAGTTTCTATTTAGCGTTTCCCAGAACCAATCTGTACAAGAACTCACCTATATTTAGAATGTGTTCAGTTTTTAATCGGTATGCTTCAGGTATTGATATAGACATGATAAATATTGAAAAGTTTAAAAAACTAATTGATAGTAAACTGCGGGATGAGATTTAGGACGTTTGTGTTTTGTACAGATTTGATTATAACCAACCATTTTAATTATGTATTGTTTAGTTTTAGTAAAAATGTTTTAGTGTTTAATACATGTCTTTATTTCTTTTAAGTGTATTGTTAAGCTTTATGTTACTGTTAGTCTTAAGTAGATGTCTGTAATTGGCCCCTGGCTGTTGATGTCTGATTGATAAATAAATAAATAAATAAATAAAATCAAAAGTATGCGATAGAGCGAGTTCAAAAAAAATTTCTGAGACAAATTGCATTTAGATTGAATATCAATTATGACTCTATTGATTATGACATTTTATCCCTTTTAAACATGCAAACTTTACAGCAAAGAAGAGACCAGCAAGACTTATGTATCCTATACAAAATTATAAATAATATCATACAGTCACCAGATCTTTTGTCACTGATTGGTTTTCATGTACCTAGAAATTGTAATGTTAGAACAAATAGGCTATTTTATATCAAACATCATCGAACTAATTATGGCTTAAATTCTCCCATCTCAAGATTCTGTGGGTTGGCTAATAATATCATTGAAAGACTGAATATCGATTTTTTTAATGTAAGCCTAAATTCCTTTAAAAGAAAAATAAAACATGTTTAATTAAGATCCCTAATGCCGGTACTGCAGCAACTATTATTGTAGTATGTATTATGTTCTTTTTTTTCTCTCTTGCATAAGTCTGATTATATTATGTATATTACACTCTGTGAGTTGTACCTAAAAACCTGTGATATAGTGGTCTAAAGATAATCCTATTAACAAGTGTAATGTTCCTTGATTAGATTGTTATTGTTTTTTTTACTTGATTGTTTTACTAAATGTTTTTTTTATATATATATTATATTTATTATTATTGTAAACACTTTTAAATGACGTTGTCGTTAATAAAATATTTATTTATTATTTATTTATTTATTTATTTTTAACCATATATGAAATGTTGTCATTACTGACTTTTCAAAAATTTGAAAATGTCACATTTCTGTCTTTTCATTTTCCTGCTCCATTACCTGTCCCAGGACGGGAAGTGAGGACGGGAAATTTTTTCCGTCCTCATTTCCCGTCCACGGATGGAAAATGGAGCAGGGAAATATTTCCCGTTCTCATTTTCCTCTTCATTTGCCGACCTCATTTGGTTGCCCCGAATTTTTTTTTTTTCAAGATATTATGGTTAAAAATAAAATAGTATACAACCCTCGACGGGAAACTTTATTGCTGTCTCGAGGTTCAGTTTATCTCGACGCTACGCATCTCGATAAACTATAAAACCTCTCGACCAGTAATGAAGCATTTCCCGTCTCGGATTGTAATATACTATTGTATTTACAATTTTTTGATATCTCTTCACATAATCCCTATAGTGGGGGGTCAATATTGGGAAAGACCCTGTACCTATAATATGTTATAGACTCGTATAGGTATACATTATCGTATAAAATAATAATATGAAAGGGTCTTACTTTGGTGTTAAATACATGCTGAGTTTCTTCGATTTGCTTCCTGCTGAGAGAAAGCTCGAAAGGGTCGATCTTGGTGCAAACATTCTGAGCAAGAATATTTTTCTCATCCTTGAAGAAAGCCTTCTTGAAGTTCTCCACAAGATCCTTGCCGAGAACTGCTTTAAAACAAAAATAGGTTTTACTCGGGCCTCGGTGCAGCAGGCTCATTATCATAAATTTCGCGAACACAAACAAAAAAGAGAAAGCCGATTTTGACAATTTTCGAGATGAGCTGACAGTTTAAAAAAAATAAATAAACCATTCAAAATTTAAAAAAAAAAACACAATTATACCTGGTTTAGAAGACATGATTGCGTTCGACTTTTATTAGAGACACTAGACTACGGCTACACCCACAATGTTCAAAAGAGAAAATTAAATGCACAAGTGCACACTGCACATACACAAAATGCAACAAATAATGGAGAATGAATTTCACTTTTTGATGCAGAGGCAAAAGTGTGACAGTTGAAAGGGGAAACCGTGGAAACAAATAGTGGGAGCAGCAGTGTTGCCAACCTGCAAATAAATCCACAATTCTTGGAATCAAGGCCCCATAGTCCCATGGTAGTTGTATTTCTTTCAAGAGTTTGAAACACTCGAGCTACTCGCTCCGGTGTTTAGTAGCCCCCGACTTGCAGGGAACAGATGCGTGGTGCAAGAAACACTTTTCGATAGCGCGTGAAGCCCCGGAGCTGTTCCGGAGCTCCTCCTAGGTGTGAAAGAAATACAACTGGTGTTGCACCGATGTCGACGTCATCAACGGTGTCGTTAGCTGTTTGCGCCAGCGGTCGTACCTCAAGAGTGCGTTCGAAATAACCCTGAGCGTCACACCGAGTGCACACCAGCCATGTGTTATTCATGGCTGGTGTGCACTCGGTGTGACGCCCAGGGTGATTTCGAACGCACTCCAATAGTTCTTTTCACGTGGCTCCGGTTTAACTACCCGGGTTACAAAACGGTTAGAGAAATGACATACCGTTTTCTAACCCGGTTACAAAGTGACGTGATGGATACCTACCACGCGAATTTGAGCGGTATGTTGCGGTTTGTTAAACCGGAGCCACGTGAAAAGAGTTAATGTAGTTTAGAATATACATTTATGGCCGTGTTCGTTTTTGTCATCTTTTTCGTCGATTTGCTACGAAACTTTGACAGGCACGTGAAGATAACAAAAACGAACACGGCTTCTGAAGAAATTATGATTTAATTTTGGTTAACATAATAGGGCAATCCAACGACCTGTCAAAATGGAATTCAAAATGGAGGCCAATGCCTTTTTTCCAGTAATAATTTCTTAAACTAAAAACTTTCCATCTTAGAATACGAAAATTATCCTCCCAAACACTAGAAAATCATCTAAAAGCACCACAAAATACACATAAAACAGTTTTTTGATGAAAAATTTCACGATTGCTTCAATTGACGTTTTTAATTAAAAGAGATGGATAGTAAGTATGAAAACAATCATTTTCCCGCCAACATTTGCTTGCTTGTCAATGCCAGTGTATTAGGCAATTCAAACCACGTGACATTCAAGATGGCGTGGCGGCCACACATGGGCCAAAAAACACAAAAAAATGTCTAGTTTCTGCCCGAATTAATAGTTTAGGTACCTAGTCAACAAATATTTTATTAAATAATGAAAATCAAAGTTGTAAGCAAAACTGTATGTAAAATAATTTAAAATAGGCATAAAAACATGTTCAAAACAAACTTGCTTGGCCGCCACGCCACATTGAATTTTCCTTGTTGACAGATGGATTGAATTGCCTAATTGGGTGTTTTGAAAGAAAATGTGGGAAAAGTCACTATTTCATTTGCAGAACTTCGCTATGGAGAAAGCGGTGGATTATTTTGGAAGCAAACAGCTCCCGCAAACTGAACTTGAACGTGGATTACTTTGTATACTTGATAGGCCGTGGATTTTCCTTTTTTTTGCGAGTATTCTTTCTGATTTTATGTATCCAAAGTTTGATAAATGTGGGATTTGATGGAAACTTATGGAAAGACACGTCCGCCGGTAAATAGGAATTATTTTTACGAAAAGGCACACTACACAATCACCATTATTAGGAAAAAACTTTGAAAAAACCGAAGAAATAATTAGTTTCCAGTTTCCACATGTACAAAAGTCTTGTCAACAAACCACTGTCAGCGGCTGTCAACCGTTGTTTCCATACTCTTTTGGCGTCTGACAGTTTGACGCCAGAGAGAGAAGCTTTTAAATTGAAAAGGTCAATTAAATTTATGGCGCCAATTTTTTGGCATTGACCACCATTTTGTTTGAATTGCCCTATAGGCATTAGGTAAAGAGGAAAGATGCAAGCGAGATCTGAAAGAGGGATGTATTAGATTGTTAATTAATATAGTAAAACCCAAGGATGATACACACTACTACTAGAGAATGGCCTATCCTCATAAAGCCTGTGTGTAACAAATCCACCCCTACCCCTCAAGGATGATACACACTACTACTGGATGGCCTATCCTCATAAGGCCTGTGTGTAACAAATCCCCCCTATCCCCACCCCTAGCACCAGGCCAAACAACCAGTTGCGACGTAAACAGCATGGCGTTTCTCGCCTTGACGTAGGCTGTTCAAACAGCTGACGACTTAGTTATGACGTCGGCAATGGTTGAAAACAGTTGAAACCAATATGGCGGCCATTACCAAAAACTCAATTGTTTGAAAGAAAACAATATTTTTCTGTATTTTCATTATTTGGAGTTTCAGGATTTTGTAATAATTTTAATTTCAAACATGCTACGCATCTTAAATTAATTATTTGGCCAAGTAAGACAAAAATGGACTAGTGCTATGAAATTTTGTTTTCTTCATATACCGGTTTGCAGCTTCTTTGCAAGTTGCTTCAAGAATCAAGTTCAACTATCTTTGAGTTCAAGTTCAACTAAAGCTGGGTTCGGCTATTCGGCGGAGTTGGAGTGGAGTAAGAACAGAGCTAATGGAGTCACCCCTAATGCGGTAGAAAGCAATACCGGAACGGCTGGAGTGCGAATGGAGTCACTCGGAGTGCACGGAGTGAGCAAACCCAACCCACCTTAAATCTACTTTTGATGTAACCGTAACCGTGTGTTCTATATTTTGATCTAAGTTCTTGCATTTACCGTTCGTTTATTCAAAAAGTGTACTTGGTGCATGCTCATTCGCGTTCGTTTATTGAAATTGCGAGCGCTCTGATACAGCAGGCTTGTTTTTTTGTGTCGCACTAAGGGCCATATTCTCCGTAGTCCATGAAGCCTGGCTTAGTGGAAAAGCTCGGCTTTGCCGCACAAAAAGCCAAGCGTTTCCACTAAGCCAGGCTTTATAAACTACGGAGAATATGGCCCTAACTTGAACTAAGCTGTATTATTTCAGATTATGGCAGATAATCTATATAAAACGCTCGCAGGCGAACGCCCCAAAACTGGAGTGCTGCCCTGAACAACACAAACAACAAACCTAGCGTTGCAAGCTGTAAAACGGCCTTTAGTTGGAACACTGGCCACTTTCCAAATTTCACCGATAAATTTACCGGTTAAATAAACCGGTAGCTGTCAAAAAATTCCGGTAAAAGTTAAGTAAAATCTGTTTTTTTTTTCAAAATGACATTATGTTGGCAATATAATGTAAAATTGTCAATGCTTCAAATTTTTTGTGTAGAAAAAGCTTGTGTTGCCAACATAGGTAGTTAAAATCTGTTTTTTTTTTAAAGATAAAAGTCAAAATGACATTATGTTGGCAATACAATGTAAAATTGTCAAGCTTCGAAATCTTTTATGTAGAAAAGGCTTGTGTTGCCAACATAGTTACTAAATTTTTGACTTGGGGAATTATCTTTAAAAAACTTTTATGTTTTTTTTTTAAGATAATTCCCCAAGTCAAAAATTTAGTAATTATGTTGGCAGCACAAGCCTTTTCTACATACAAAATTTGAAAGCATTGACAATTTTACATTGTATTGCCAACATGTCATTTTGACTTTTATCTTCAAAAAAAAACACACTTTAGGTGTAAGTCCGGTCAGTGGCGTAGCCAGTAAGGTCACAAGAATTTACTGATGCATTTTGGAACGCTTTGGTGTGTAGTTTGGTTGTGACTTGTGACGTGACGAGGAAAAAACCGACAAAAATTCCCGGTGGATTCGGTGCCTCACCGGTTTCAAACAGCTGATCATTCCGGTCAATTTAGGAACGGTCGACGATCGGGTCCAACCGGTAAAAAGTCGGTACATTTCTTGGGTACATTTTGGAACGGTTTGGTGAGTAAACTGATAAACCGGTATCGCACCGGTTCAGAAACCGGTGAATTTTGGAAAGTGCCCACTCTACTGGTAGAACTTAGAACTACTAGGTCCACCTGTAGTTCAGAATCGAACCGAAATTTCTGTTCGCAGTTCAACTAAAATTTGTTTTTTTTTTTAAAGATAAAAGTCAAAATGACATTATGTTGGCAATACAATGTAAAATTGTCAATGCTTTCAAATTTTTTATGTAGAAAAGGCTTGTGTTGCCAACATAGTTACTAAATTTTTGACTTGGGGAATTATCTTTAAAAAAAAGCAGACTTTATACAATCCTAGATGAGTTGCACTACAAAAAAAAAGCATAATTAACACGATAAGCTTATGGCACTTTCGAATGTGACATGTAGTAACACTTAAAACACACGGAGCGGTTTTTGCCGAGTCGGCCGCCGAATCGGTCATTGAAACGGCATCTCGTTTATGACACTTTTATTGTATGAACCAGACGGTGCCTCGTCAAAGGCGGCTGCACGCTCGGCGCATTATTCCCTGTTCGCTTATGGGAGGATTGGGAGGAAACACACGTCGAGCGGTTTTAGCACGGTTTTTTAATTTTCGTGAACATCAGTGTTGCCAGTTAAAATAAAATTATGGAAAATTTGAACGTTGAGAGGCTAATTAATGCAATTCACATAAGGCTAGCAATAAATGGGATATGCACTAAAGAATATTCTAACAAGATCCGAAAAAAATCGTCGTCACTAGAAGATGCCATTGCATACAGCGTGACTGTACGCAAACTAGAGGTGGGTTGCAATTTCACGAACTGTGACTTTGTCACTGCTACTCGTCTGTCACAGTCACGTCCTGCTCCAGTCCCAGTCAAGTAGCAGTGACATTTTGTCACAGTCTGCTTCAAGCTCCGCCGGATGCAGCGCGGACAGAACTCGAGCTGAGTGATGTAAATGAAATAATAATATTATAAATTGCATCGCGATCACGCCAAATAGAAACTGCTACTGCAAAGGGCAGGCTGGAAACTGGAGCATCTCTTTAGGCCGTGACTGCGGACTGCGATTATGCCATTTTACGATGTAGCATTAACATATAATAATAGCATCAGTACGGCCGCCAACGAAGGTAAAACTGCTCCAAAAAATCACTGCTATTTGTCACAGTGACACGACTGGAGCAGTCACGTCTTGTCACAGCTTCATTAAAATTGCAGGTTGGCCCACCTCTAACGCAAACAACTGGCAACAGCGGGATTATGCATTTTTGAATTTGTTGATCTGCCAGGCGCGGTAAAGCTACGTTTACATTCAATTCCAATTCAAATTGCAATTGGAATTACTTGACAGTTGAACGACTGGCCGTTTACATTGAAATTTGTGCGGGAAAAATTGTGCTTTGTACTTGACCAATGGTCGCGTTCACCAACACTAAACATAGGCGATTTTCAGCCTGGAATGATTAATATTTGGTTATAACCAATGCATTTCCGCCGTCGCGGTTTTAACCAAAGTAGGGGAAGTTGTGACGTTACATATCAGCTGATTTGCTTTTGGTATTTACCACTTATAACCGATTATAACCCAGCTTTGGACTTAGGTTAATCTTTTGGTTACAGCTTTTTGATGTTATTGTTATTATTTTTGGAATTTGTATTGGTGTTTTGTGATTTTGCAGTTGCGTTGTAGCCTGGCACAATGAAAGAAGTATACATTCACTCACTCACTGCAATTCACCATGTTTAGATCGAGGTTTATATCATCCCCAAAGAAAATCTGTTCGATAAACGAGACTAACGAGAAATTCAGCTTCATTTTTTGTACCTAAACAAAAAACTATTGTTGAAACGAAAAAACAAATAAGAATAATAAACATAATCCTACACTGCTATAACCAAATCATTTCAGCGGTCAGTTCCTTGGGTTATGATTCTTGAATGGTGGGGGGCTATGACGTCACACTTGGCTGTCAAAGTTGTCAACCAAAAGAATAACCACGGTATATACCGATAAATAATCATCCCAGGCTGAAAATCGCCTCATGTTGAGTGATTAGTCAGCGGCTTTGTTGATAACAGATGAAAATCAGCTCTAGGCCAATCAAAAATGTTCTACCTTGTGTATTTCACTTGTTGGAAGAAAGCCTCTTACTAATCATTCAACATGTTGAGTGCTGGTGAACGCGACCATCGAACCTAACCTTCAAATTTGTAATTTCGAATTTTTTCTTGCCGATGTCAAAGCTGCTTGTACCAATTTGAATTGGAAGTGGGCGTGACCTTGAAAATAATTTGCAAAATAGACGGCAGTACAGTTTGCCATAAGTCAAGCTCCAAAATTTCACTCCCAATTCAAATTGGAATTGAATGTAAACGTAGCTTAACGCTGTGTGTGTTTGGAGCCGCTCCTCCGCCGAATCGTTGCCGACTCGGCAGAAACCGCTTCGTGTGTTTTAGGCTTTAGCTTATGACTTTTCATGCATCCGTTTTTCCGTCGATCCGAAAGTATTCCTATTGATCCAATATTTTGGCGTCTAAATATTGGACCAATTGGAATACTTCCGGATCAACGGATTGAAGGAAAAACGGATGCATGAAAAGTGAGCTTAACATTTGACGATATAATTTTAATGGTGTTCATTTGTTTGTTGGTCCACCTGTTTGAAAAATCATCTGCTTTTAAGAGCTATACATCAGCTCTTGGGACAAGTGAACATCGATCTGCTGCTGACTGACATTGTCTGCTGGAAGCAAGAAAAGCAGTACAAATAACACTCTAATTTGGGTGAGTTCGGCTTGGCAAAACGTAGTTGAAGCGGATAAAGAGCAGTTTCATAGTGACGTGATCACAGAGTGAAAAGAGTAAAATGGTTAAGTCGAACGCATCAGGTGCAAGGCAAGCCGCGGACCGCGAATGCCGCGGGCGCTTATCCCCATCACAAACCGGAACATGTGTTTTTACGGATATTTTGGGGAGCGATGCCATTTATTCTGCTAGGAGCCAGGAGCCACAGGGTACTTATTCTTGAAATAGGGAGGCAGCGTTCCCAGGAGAACGAGCGTTCCGTCATTGTTATAGACTCTGGATAATGATGTGTTGTCGTATTGCACTTAATAGATTTTACCTCTCACAAATACCCCTTGAAGCAGATAGAAGTGTGAAACTCCGAAAAAACAGCAGACAGCCAACGTCTAAAAAATGAAGTTTGTCCCATGTGTGGCCGCCACGCCAGCTTTAAAGTCACGTGGTTTGGATTGCCTAATATGATGGCGGCCGATAAGATTGCCCGATCCCAACGATAATACACACTACTACTACAGGATGGTCTATCCTCATAAGGCCTGTGTGTAACAAATCCCCTCCTTCCCCCCAATTGCCAAACAACCAATTGTGACGTAAGCAGCATGGCGTTTCTCGCCTTGACGTAGGCTGTTTAAACAGCTGACGACTTAGTTATGACGTCGGCAACGGTTGAAAACAGTTGAAAACCAATATGGCGGCGATTACCAAAAACGAGGCCGATAAGCACTCCTTAGAGTATGTATTCTCCTTGGGTTTGGATTGCCTAATATGGCGGCAACCTTACCGGCCTCGTTTTTGGTAATCGCAAACGAAGCCGGTAAGGTTGCCGGATCCATTGCTGAATAGGGCACTTTCCAAAATTCACCGGTTTCTGAATCGGTTCAATGGTTTACCCACCCCCACCCACCAAACTGTTCTGGATGTACCGATTTTTTACCGGTTGAACCAGATCGTCCGTTCTAAAATTGACCGGAGTGATAAGCTGTTTGAAACCGATGAGGCACCGGATCCACCGGGAATTTTTGTCGGTTCTTTCCTCGTCACGTCACAACCAAACTACACACCAAAGCGTTCCAAAATGCATCAGAAAATTCTTGTGACCTTACTGGCTACGCCACTGACCGGACTTACACCTAGTGTGTTTTTTTTTCTAAAGATAAAAGTCAAAATGACATGTAGGCAATAAAATTGTCAATGCTTTCAAATTTTGTATGTAGAAAAGGCTTGTGCTGCCAACATAATTACTAAATTTTTGACTTGGGGAATTATCTTAAAAAAAAAATATAAAAGTTTTTTAAAGATAATTCCCCAAGTCAAAAATTTAGTAACTACCTATGTTGGCAACACAAGCTTTTTCTACACAAAAAATTTGAAGCATTGACAATTTTACATTATATTGCCAACATAATGTCATTTTGACTTTTATCTTTAAAAAAAAAACAGATTTTACTTAACTTTTACCGAATTTTTTGACAGCTACCGGTTTATTTAACCGGTCAATTCATCGGTGAAATTTGGAAGTGCCCATTGTCAAGCTGTCCATTGTCAAATATTTCAAGAATGGAATGACAGAAACTTTCTGTCATTTGCTATTTGCCAATTTGTATTGTTATTACCACCAAAGAAAAATGTTTACTACAACAAAACTCTACATCGATAGAAAAATTTAAAGTAATCCCACCAACATGTCTCTAGAAAACCCCGAAGTCCTCGCCAGCAACGAGACCGAAATCCAAGAACTAAAAACCTACATCCAAGAGGTGGAAGAACGTTTGAAATTCAAGCAGGACTTAAGAACACGAAACCAGAATGCGGCTCAAACTAGGCCCAGCGATTCGCACTTCAGTAAATTGGACTCGAGCCTCAAGAAAAATACAGCTTTCGTCAAGAAAATCAAAAATTTCTCGGCAGCTCTTATCGACACTTACCTAAAAGACATGGTAGGCCTGAATTTATCAAAGTACGTTTCGGAGGTTGCCGCTGCTATTGTCGACACAAAATTGAAAATGACCGACGTATCGGCAGCGATAAAGCTTTGCAGCACTTTGCACCAAACTTATGTGGACTTTTCGCAGCACTTGTTTGAAAATTGGCAAAAGGCTTTGGCAATTAAAGCCACAGAAAAAGTGCAAAACCCTAGCAAACTAAGGGTCGACTTAAGATTTTACGCTGAACTGTTACAATCTAGCATTTTCAGTAATAAAAATGCATTCACCTTGTTGGGTTCTGTACTGACAACCCTAATTAACATGGATAAAGAAGAGCATGTAAATGTTTCTATTATATTGAGCTTTTGTAAGCATTGTGGTGATGACTATGCAGGTCTTTTACCCAGAAAAATCCGAATTTTAAGTGCTGAGTATGACATTCCAGTACCCAAGAGTAGTTTTTTAGCTCCAGAGAAACAACAAAATGTAAGAGGCTTATTGAAAGACTATTATTTATCTTTGAGCAAACATTTAGTTAAAGATCATCACGAATTACAAAATTTAGAAAAACAAAACTTGAAAATATTGCAAACCAAAGGAGAACTTAGTCAAGAACGTAAAGAAAAACTAGAAACTTTGCAAAATTTTTATGAAAAACTTTTAACAAACACACAAAACTATGCTGAAATTCTTGACGAAGACATGCCAATATTAAAAGTTCAAGTTTTACCTAAAGCAGAAGAAAATATGATTGTAACAGGATCTGGTGCAGATTTTGATGAAAACTCAAGTCTAGAAAATATCTGGTGTGATGTTGAAACTCAAAAGTTTTACTGCGACTTACCAGAACTAACAGCATTCCTGCCAACATCTTACCTTAAAACCCAACCACAACCTCCTGCAGAAACTGTTACAGAAGAAGTACTGGATTCTGAATTGTCCACAGAAGATACTGAAGAGGATAGTAAAAGTGAAGAGGTCCCTGTTCTAGAAGAAGAAGTTGAAGACCAAACATCAACAAATGCCAGTAATAAAATTGTTTTAGAAGCATTTTTAACCAATTTACCCAACTGTGTCAACAGAGAAATGATTGATAATGCTGCCATAGACTTCCTTGTTACATTAAACATCAAACATAATCGCAGAAAGCTTGTCAGGAGTCTTTTCAGCGTCAACAGAACAAGACTGGACCTATTGCCATTTTATGCACGTTTTGTCGCCATACTTCAACCAGCCCTTCCTGAAGTTGGCAATGAACTTTGCCAAATGCTAAGACTAGATTTCAAATATCATGTGAAGAAAAAAGATCAAATTAATATTGAATCAAAAGTTAAAGTAGTAAGATTTATTGGGGAGCTAGTCAAATTTAATTTGTATTCAAAAATAGAGGCACTTTATTGTCTCAAAGTGTTGCTGCATGATTTCTCCCATCATCATATCGAAATGGCTTGCAACTTATTGGAAGTTTGTGGAAGGTTTTTATATTGCAATGCTGACTCGCATCAAAGGACCAAAGTCTATTTAGAGCAGATGATGCGGAAAAAAACTGTTATGACTTTAGATTCCAGATATGTAACTCAAATAGAAAATGCTTACTATTACGTAAATCCTCCGGAATTGGTTACAGTAGCCCAAAAAGAACGTCCAATAATGCACCAGTTTATACGCAAGCTCTTATATCAAGATCTGCAAAAGAATAACACAGACAAAATAATGCGTTTAATGAGAAAGCTTGATTGGACGAATAAAGATATTTCTATTTATGCTACAAAATGTCTTACAGGTGCACACAATATGAAATATTTCAATATAAGATGCCTGGCTAGTCTTCTATCAGGCCTTGTAGGATACCAAGAAGAAATTGGCACCAAAGTTGTTGATGGTGTTTTAGAAGACATCAGATTAGGCATGGAAGTTAACTTACCAAAATTCAATCAAAGAAGAGTGGCACAAATTAAATATTTAGGCGAATTGTACAATTACAGAATGGTTGAAAGCGCTGATGTGTTTAAGGTTTTATACTCCTTAATTTCTTTTGGAGTTTCGATGGATCCTAATGAATCATCAGTGTTGGATCCTCCAAATCATCTATTCAGAATCCGCCTGGCATGTGTATTACTTGAAACATGTGGAACATATTTCAGCAGTGGCAGCAGCAAAAAAAAATTGGACTATTATTTAGTGTTTTTACAGATGTATTATTGGCACAAAAAGGAAACTTGGAAAGAAGCATTTCCTCCATTTTTAGAACACATTTTCAAGGAAACATTATCAATTTTAAGACCCAAACTAAAGCTTTGTCAAAACTATGAAGAAGCTAAATTAGAAGTTAACAACATAAGGACATCTTTAGGCATAGAAAGTCTCATTTCTCAAAAAAAGGATATCTCAGAAGGTTTGGATACTATTGCTGAAACTGATACTGAAGATTGTGCAGATGAAGAGCCATCTGAAGGAGCTACTGGCTTAGTGACAGACGATACAGCCACAGAAGATGAAACTGCAGATCCTCAATCTGATTTTGATAATGAAGTTGAAACTAGTGAAGCTGAAGCGGAACAAGTTTCTGAATCTTTAGCTATACCTCAAGGTCCTAAAAAAGTCGATTGCCCCGAAGATGAGGAGTTTTTATCGGCCCTAGATAAAATGGTGTCTGATAATATTCAAGAAAGAATGCGGGAACCGGTTAAAAGTGGAAATGTTGATATTTCAGTACCAGTAGTAGTGAAGAATAATGTTAAGAAGAGCTATGACCAATTACAAGAAACTCCTGAAGAAAATGGCAAACAAAGAATTGGATTTGTGTTGATGATACGCAAAGGAAACAAGCAACAGTACAGGCCATTTGAAGCTGACGCAGATTCGGAGCTAGCGCAAAATCTAAAAGATCAAGAACAAGCTCACCGAGAAGAAAAAGAGAGAGTGAAAAGGCTTACTTTGAATATAACTGAAAGATTTGAAGAGGAAGATTATCAAGAATCCATATCTCAGCAGAGGGTGGCTACGCAAAATTTAAATCGCGAAAGAAAAAAATACCAACATCCTAAAGGAGCGCCCGATGCTGATTTAATATTTGGTCCTAAAAAGGTTCGATAATGGAATAAATAAACTTATGTTTGTTTTTTTTTTGGTTGGAAGTTTCCAGAAGGGAAAAATCTTGTTGAAAGAATAGAAAGATGTTAATTTTGTATGGTTTACCAAGTTGAATTTCAAGCTTTAATGTATTTTTTCTTTGAGAACGTTGAATCGCGATTTTTTTGTTTGTGAGAAATAAATATTTTATGTTGAAAATGCCAAGAGCTTGTTTTATTTTCTTATAACTTGATCTCTTAGCATGTCTTGTATTAGCTGTTGAAGTCATGTACCTACTAGGATCGATCTGGGAGATATGAATAAGGTATAGAGACGTATAGTATTTTTTGTAATAAATGGTTGACTCCTCTTAACTATCTGGGCGTTTTGAAAGCTCGGCCATGAATACAATGGGTAGTTTTATTGCAGTCATTAACTCGATACCAATTATTGTGAAAAATACTATATATGATTAAATTTGTATAGAAGAATTATGTTAATTTTATTCAAAGCTCCTTTGCATTAAAGCTGGCGGTGATTGCAAAGATCAGGAACAAGCACAGGCAGAGGAGGATTGTTATTGCACATAATTTAATTCTGGAAAGAAAAAAAATTGGTTGTAGATCTAGGTACCTAGGGAGTTTAATAAGTTGATTTCAGATAGGTAAGGCAGGGTGTATAAAAAATAGTGTATACCAATCTTCGAGGGGTGATACTAGGTATACATATGAAAATAAGAAAAAAAGTTCCTATTATGCCCTAAGATGCTCCCGAAGAAGATACAGCCCTTGAAACAGTAGATGAAAATAATAAATTTTATTTATTTTCAAGAACAGTGGCAAACTATTTCCCTTGAAATTTGACATTCTCCTATAGGTAGGTATACATTTCGATGTCCATGCCATTAAAGCGAACTGAAAAAGGGATTTTTGAGCTAAAAAACGTTTTTCTCTAAAACTCTGATACCCTGTATCTCAGAAACTAAGCATTTCCGGACACATGTTTATGGGAACTTTTTTTCTTAAAATATTGTAAGGAATCGCATCCTGAAGTTACGAACCGTAGGCACTTAGGAAACACCCTGTATATTTTTCTATTTTTTGACCACCCTGTACATGCTATTTCAAGTTTTAGTAGTTTAATATTATTTTTTCAAGAAGTAGAAACTTAGAATACCTAGAATAACTTTTTTTCATAAAATTAATAATGAAAAAGTTTCCAATATGCTACGAACTTAAGTGGACACGTACATATACAATGGTAGTACCTATCACTCCTCGAAGTCCGGTACTCGGTACCCTATTTTTTTACACCCTGTATTTATATATATTCTGTTGAGACTGTAGAACAGTGAATCAGGATTCTTATTACTGAGCGCTGAACATTTTATTTTGGAAATATCCAGAATCAGAGCTCTAAAATTGCCATAAAAAATATTCCTGGGAAACGAAAATTTGTCTTTTCCAGAATCAAGAAGAAAAGTTTACTTTCTAAATAGCAAGTGTTCATAAATTCCAATGGATATCGAATCATGGCAATCATGTCATGATAATTATTTTTAATAAATAAAAATATAAATTAATTAATAAATTTTCCTTTACAGTTTTGTACCACGTTATTGCCAATTTCAGTATCAGTCCCTGTAGCGCAGAGGATAGCGCGTTGGACTTCTAATCCAAAGGTCGTGGGTTCGATCCCCACCAGGGATGCATGGTGAACAATTTTTTTTTAGTACCGAATATCATTATTTCAAGTTTAAGTCAAATTGCTGCAGATAGTTACCAACAATTTTATCTGAAGAATATACCGGGCCTTAGTGAGTCATCGAAAGTTGATTTGTATTTTATAGGACAGAAACCAGCTTAAGTTTTAAAATGTTCTCGAACAACAAAATGAAAGCACCTAATTTTGACTTTGACAGTTTGTTCGAATAACAAAAACAGAAAACATATGAGATGATGATTGACGTGTCTATTTGGAATTTGTAAAATTTTTAAAAGTTGTGTTTTTGATTGTAATTAATTACATTAAAAAATGGTATACGTGAAAAGTGGTAAGTAGATTATTAAGCAAAATACTCAAAATTACTAGAATGTATTTTTTTCTAGATGGCACCGTTTGCCAGAACCCCCCGATCCACGAAAGACTGCTGAGGCTGATTTTTGGGGTCATCGGCTTTGTTATATTCTTGTAAGTTCAATTTAAATTAAACAACATAAACCTTTCGAGAACTAGAGCCTTTTTCAAGGGGTCTTTATTTTTTCCCAAGATAGATTTTTGACATTGAAACCTTTGAAACATAAACAATAACGCTTGACTCTGATTGGTCGCAAAATGAGGTGTTTCTGCAGGTTGACAGACATCAGTTTTACAATAGCGACCAATAAGCGGCATTAGCGGCATTGTTTATGTTTCAAAGTTGACAATGCCAAAATCTATCTTGGAAAAAAATAAACCTTATGTGTACACAGTAGGTGTACAAATTTTCAACCAGGACTTCAACATAACCATACTGGACTTAAATAGGGCTATACAGTACTTTCTCAGGACTATACAGTACTTCAGCAGGACTATACAGTACTCTAACAGGACTATACAATACTTCAACAGGACTGAAGTTATGCCAAAGGAAAATAATCTCTCTGTTTGGCTCTCTGGATCTCCTTCTAGAATCTAGATCAACCAAATGGGTTTTACTGCGGCATTATTTTTTTTATGTTGTTTTTGTGCTCAGTTTTTGTGAATTAGGAATTTGAATAACTTTAGAAGTCATGATATTACGAATTCCGGATTCTATGTACAAATTTAAGACTTTGCGTAGAATCGTGAACGTGAGGATTTGTGTTGGACTTACAGGACTTGTACAACACCTCTACCTCAGGGCCTTAAAAATAGTTCAAGTTTTATAGAATTTTCCACCCTGGGGTCCTATTTTCGAATATTTTCGTATACGAAATTTGATACGATTTCGAATGCTCCCCATTTAATTTACATTGCTGTCATTCAAATTTTGTGTACGAAATGTACTCGAATGGTTTCGAAAATCGCGCCCCTGGGGTGCGGGAATTGACCAACTTAAGGCTGAAATGCAGGTTTTGAAGGATGATCTCAAACAAAAGCCTGTCGCCACATCTCCCAAAAACACTAGCTGGTCTAACGCATGGAATAATGACTTTTTTGTTGAGCTCCAGGACCGTCAAAATCGTGTGAACAAACTCAAACTCAAAATGTGCTTTATTGTGTAAATATGAATATTTGTTCACAAAAGCTGATCCTATGGCTAAAAATTGAAGTATACTGTTGTAGTAGCGAAAAATACTAAATGTATACATACTTAAAATAGAAGACCTCACAAAACATTTAAGATATAAAAATCAGTATAAAAAAATAAAACTTAAAAGTAAGAGTCATACAAATAAAACTCTAAAAAAACTTTAAATAAAACACAAAAACTGATTCTATTCAAGAACCAGAGAAACAATTAAAAATGTAAAATCTAAAAGAACAGAGATCATTTTTTACATTGAGGGCGATAAAACGTCTTGTACACAACTAATATTGAACACATATAGCAGGGCTAACAAAAACAGATAAAAAAAGAAAAAAGAAACTACATACAATACCATACAAAATCAAAAAGCATCAAAAAACTCTTCAATACTATAATAAGTTCCCGCAAGCAGCAGTCTCTTTACCTCCTTCCTAAATTTAACTGGAGTGAAAATCGATCTAATTGACTGTGGTAAGTTATTAAACATTTTCTTGCCATTATATATAATCGACTTTCTTGCCAACTCGGAAGAGGGAATTGGGAGGGAAAGTTGATGTTGTTGTCTAAAATTATATGCGCGTTCAGCCCCTAATTGATCTTTGAGTTTCTTATGTACACGACATACACTCTCCAAGATAAACAGCGATGGAAGAGTCAAAATTCTATTGTTTAAAAATAAAGGCCTACACGAGTCCCGCATTCTGGCCCTAAACAAATATCTGATAGCTCGCTTTTGCAAGACAAACCCACTCTGAAACAATTGTCGGGAACAAGTACCCCAGAAACAAATACCGTATCGCAAATGAGATTCAATCAGGGCGAAGTAAGCATTTCTGACGATTCCCACATCCAATTCACCTGACAATACCCTTATTGCATAACAATTGGACGCCAATCTATTCTGCAGAGAAATTATGTGTGATTCAAACTTCAAGCAGTTGTCAATGAAAATTCCCAAAAATTTATTTTCAGTTAAGTTTTTTAGTAAAGAACCATTCAAAAAAATATCTCCCAAATTGCAGCCAAATGACATTACATTAGTTTTGTTTATATTCAAAGTTAACCCGTTTGCATCACACCAGGATTTAATTATTTCTATGTCAGAAGCTACAACCTCGTCAAGTAAAGTTCCATCTGATTTTTGCCACAGTATAGTGGCGTCATCCGCAAACAAAGTGAATTTACCCAGGGTCGGCGCAAGCGACTTTGGCGCCCTAGGCAAATGAATACTGTCTGACGCCCCTATCAATTAAACATACAAATATGCATGGCTATTTTTAAGAACATGTTTTATAGTTTTATTAATGATTGTACGTAATAAACTTAATATAGATATACCTGACTTACAGAATATAGATCATAGAATATCAACATAAAAAAATATATATACAAATGCCCGCCGCAGGCGCTGGCGGAGGCGAAAAAACCCTGTTCTGGTGCCACGCCCAAAGCGTTAATTTTGTGTCAAAAATATTCATAATATAAAATAAGTACCTAGTTTTTGGCTGCCCGTCACCCGATCGCACGACCTCCTATAGCTACTAGCAGAAACAGGTATAGCAGTATGTGTTCATAAGAAGAGGGCAAAGTTTGAGTTTGGGTTTGCAAGAGAAATGGAATCCTGAATATCATGAAGAAAAGAAAAGTTCAAAAGATTTTTTTTTTTGTTGCGTTTTTGCCGCCCCCTTAAGTTTGCTGCCCTAGGCGACCGCCTAGTTCGCCTAATGGTTGCGCCGACCCTGAATTTACCCGATATGTTAAGATTAGCCAAGTCGTTAACATACAGTAAAAATAGGATGGGCCCCAAAACGGAACCTTGTGGTACCCCATATCCTACTTCTTGCTGCTCCGATTGTGTACCGTTGAGTGAAACCCTCTGAACTCTGTGAGTAAGAAATGACTTGAACCATTTTAAAGCTCTACCCCTGAACAATATTGTTGTTTACAACCTACCTGAGCAGAATCAGGACCTTAATGATGTCAATGGCCTTT